AGTGCATGCCACTTGTTAGTGGCTCCTGCTTATTGGGACTGGGCTCAGCGCAGTGCATGCCACTTGTCAGTGGCTCCTGCTTCTTGGAATTGGGTAGCGCAGTGCATGCCACTTGTTAGTGGCTCCTGCTTATTGGGACTGGGGCTCAGCGCAGTGCATGCCACTTGTCAGTGGCTCCTGCTTCTTGGAATGGGGTATCGCAGTGCATGCCACTTGTCAGTGGCTCCTGCTCCGACTTTTAATAGCCTGCTCCAACTTTTTAATGGTGGTAAGCGCTCAATTCCTGATGACCTTAACTGATCTGTTTTGTTCTCTAGACTGCTGAACCTGCCGGTACTTTTGTGTGGCAAGTGCTCTCTAGTTAAGTGTTAATCTTGTCTTAAATTTCGGTCTAACGTTTCTACAGGACAAATTTGTATTGTATTATATATATATTTGCTACATACATTTTCACCTGGAGTGTTGAGGCTTTGGTGAGGAGGGCCCCCTCATTGAAGTCTCGCCTCCCCTTTTGTATTTGTTACTTTATTTGTTTGCTTACTTGTAGTAAAATTTATTGTCACTCGTACTTTGTATTTGAAAATGTATGTTGATGGATGCACTTTATTTGCTGCCGGCTGAAAAGGTCACGTGACCGTGTGTATATTAGCAAAGAGCCTTATTAAGAAAGCAAGCGCAAAAGCACAGTAGTGTATAATAATCAAACGCTGCACAGACCAAAGCAACTATTATCTACTACATGTCTTAGATAGATAATGTGTTATGTAGATCTCAATTCTGCCTTGATGCGGCTCACCATTGACATGCTGAAGGACGCTATCATTGATTATTGTCTGCCAGTCAAAATATACTATTGGCATAGGCAGATGGTGGCAGAACACTAGGACAAGTAGCCATGACGCCATATGATACAAACTTCCCTTCCCGGTCAGAAGGTTGATTCTTCTTTGAAATTGCCTTCTGACCACAGAGGGGAGTCATCATATGGCGTCATTGTCACCATCTGCCTGGGCTGCTAGCATATTTTGGACTGACGGACATTCTCAATACCCTACAGGCCGCTTAGAGGCTAGCCCGCCCTCAAAACTGTTCGTGTTAAGAGTTCTGCCTCAGAGGTAATACTTAGTTAGCTACACCTATACTGTAGGGTATTGAGAATGTTTTCTTCGGTTAACAAAGAAAACATTTTCAATACCCTACAGTATAGGTGTAGCTAACTAAGTATTACCTCTAAGGCAAAACTCTTAACACGAACAGTTTTGAGGGCGGGCTAGCCAGTATATGCCTCAGAGGTATCTCCAAACTGTTCGTGTTAAGAGTTCTGCCTCAGAGGTAATACTTCGTTAGCTACACCTATACTGTAGGGTATTGAAAATGTTTTCTTTGTTAACCGAAGAAAACATTCTCAATACCCTGCAGTATAGGTGTAGCCAACTTACCTCTGAGGCAGAACTCTTAACACGAACAGTTTTGAGGGCGGGCTAGCCTCTAAGTGGCCTGCAGGGTTTCTCAATACCCTGCAGTATAGGTGTAGCTAACTTACCTCTGAGGCATATACTGTAGGGTATTGAAGATGTTTTCTTTGTTAACCGAAGAAAACATTCTCAATACCCTACAGGCCACTTAGAGGCTAGCCCGCCCTCAAAACTGTTCGTGTTAAGAGTTCTGCCTCAGAGGTAAGTTGGCTACACCTATACTGCAGGGTATTGAGAATGTTTTCTTCGGTTAACAAAGAAAACATTTTCAATACCCTACAGTATAGGTGTAGCTAACGAAGTATTACCTCTGAGGCAGAACTCTTAACACGAACAGTTTTGAGGGCGGGCTAGCCAGTATATGCCTCAGAGGTAACCTCAGAGGTATCTCCCCTCCATGGTCAGAAGGGAAGAGTCAGCCTTCTGATGGTGCAGGGCAGTTTGTATCATATGGCGTCATTGCTACTTGTCCTGGTGTCCTCCGGATGCCAATTTACTATTATACACTACTGTTTTTGTGATTGCATTCTTAATAAGTGAGTCCTTGCTGTCTCTCAAGGCGTTGAACTCCAGCTGGAAGTGTCTCCTGTTATTTGAGACAGGGATCCCACAGTGTAGTCCCAGATTCAGAATATCATTCATTCTTCTGTGGTAGTCTGCCAATATTAGTCTTCACTCTTCCAGCATCTGAGCGAGTTATTACAGTACTAATTATGTCACAATCTGGGCAAGACTTCATTTAATCAGTCTTCCATCAGTAGATTCCATTCATATATCCAAATTTGATCGCGGGACAATTTTTTCGGAATCATTTCATATAAGTTAAATTGAGTCTTGATCCGAACGAGCTGGTTGAAAATTTTCCTTGCTCACCCATGGACCAACAAATGAGTCAATCAATCAAGCTGAGAGCAGCTCTGACCACAAGGATCAAGGAAATTATGGGAAAATCATCAGCAACAGGGATTTTCAGAGGGGGGATATTGCAAACTCACCTTCTACACAAAGCAAGGTGAGAGGTTATATTTAGGGCCTTATTTGATCCGCTCTATTAAATGGTCTCACTTAAGATTAAGAATTGGACATGAGCTAGACAGTTGCTTAGCAACACGTGATGTCAACTTCCATGCTTCTGCGTCAATCTCAGAATATGAGATCAATCGAGCTGCACTGACAGTTGCCCATGCCATGGTAAATCCTTGTGAGTTGTTTCACTCTGCAAGATATCACCTGGTTTTAAATTCACATCATTTGCAGATTATGTGGATTGGGATGTTGACAGATTTGCCGAAATGGCCAAAGTCTCTACACCTAAATCTGATGGTCCCCTCGCTAATACCAATCAGCTACCAAAGTACTTTTCTGCAGCTATGATCGGTAAAATTTCAGCACCAGCTACTATTGTGGACAGGCAAGGTAAAATTTTAACAATTTACTTGCCAAATATTTTGTCTTCTTCTCGGGTTGTATGTTCATTCTTCCTTGGGAATTCCCCTCATCAATTGATAAATTAAATTAGGAATATGTGAACTCAGCCACTAAGGGTTTACGGACTTTACTTCTTGAAACAATTACGTCCTCCACCCAACAGTCTTGGCGATCTCAAGGCTTTGTTGTCCCAGAGGGGGGTGGAGAATTTGGAGCAGGCAGAGTCACAGTATCACCAGCATATTTTATGCAAAGACACGAGGTATAGGCCAAATTTAGTGGCTGTTTAGCTACTTTTGACTTTGTTTGATTTCATTTGCAGAGACTGGAAGACCCAATGGTTACCTCGGCTTCCTATAAGTCTGTGGAAGTCCAAGAGTGGCTAGCTGCTTTATCAGCTACTGAATCTTTCTGGAATGCCATTACCGCTGTATCGGCTCCAGATCTATTCGAAGCAGGCACCTTGGCAATCACTCGTATTATTGAGGAACTTCAAGGTTCTGATAGAACATCACCACCCATCTGTGATTGGCCCTCGATCTTCTCAGGATTGGAAATAATTGCAAATCGTACAACTTTATCACACAGAGATTCTGGTGGCGCACCATTTCTTTTGATCTTCTGATTAGTTTAGGCAGTGGCCATGAGGCTAAGTTGACATTAGCAGATGTTGGGGCCGAACTGGATTATTACCCTGGGACAATGGTCTTCATTTCCGGGAAGGTTTTACAACATTCTATTGGTCCATGGGGTCCGGGAGAAAGGCTCGTTATTGCCCATTTTATGAGGGATAAAATCCACTCTAGATGCGGGGTATCCAGACCCCCCTTTCCAACACAGGCCTATTTTTTGCAGATGGTGGGGCAGCAGGATAGTTATTTGTTGTGACAAGTAGATGATAAGAAAGGAGTGGTTCTTGGAGGAGGAGGGGTGGAATGGGACAAATCAAGTGTTTGACAGTATACCTACTAGATTAGTTGATGTGATCTAGTGATTCCTATGAATGGTTTCAACTATCAAAAATAGAATGTTGATAATATCAATTTTTCCCCCCACACGTAACCCTATGTCTCCCAAGAAAAAAACTCGACTCAAGGCAGCTACATTTTCCTTCCAAGGAAGAGGTCGTTTGTCTAAAGGCAAGGACCTTGATGTTGCCTATGTGTCTCATAAACAAGTCATTGGAAAGAGAAGGAAGCCAACCTGGGTGGAATCATGCGCTGATAGCCTTTATGACACTGCCCCAACACCATCTCCATCCTCCAGCCCTCGTAAACGTATTAGAGAAGACACTCAAGGGTTGCAAAACAGTCATGAAGATTTTGATAGACAAACCCTTGGTGACTTTGTTTCCTATGTAGAGAACTCACAAAGAAAAACCAAGGCAAGCATAGTGATTCAGTGTCTTTTAATGATGTACTAAATAGAGATTATTACGACCAGACACAAAATGACTTCATCCAAGAATATCTGCCTTTCCGAGACTTGTACTTGGATATTCTCCTTGACTTGGAGAAACCCTCCGATGTATCCCAGTGCCAGTCTTGTCAGATTGGTGAAGGGAAATTCCGCTGTTTGACTTGCAGTGGAGATCAGACATTCTGTCGTTCTTGCATTGTCAATGCTCACCAGTTTTTGCCCTTCCACAAGGTTCAAGAGTGGACTGGGAAATGCTTCAACGACACATCACTTGAAGAATTGGGTTTATCTGGTATATGGGCCATGGGGGACAACCATGTCCATTTTCTGACGACATGCATGCATGGGAGAATATTCCGATGGACGCAGAGGCCAATTTTTCACCAATGGAGACAGTTCATGGTTCAACTATACCAACCAAGTTGACCATTGTACATTCCACTGGAGTGTTTTTGCACAACGTTGTCTGGTGCAGCTGTCCTGGGGTCGATTGTCAGCAGCATTTGCAATTGCTGAAAGCTAAATTATTTCCAGCCAGTACCACTCGACCACAGACTGCCTTTACTTTTGATGTCCTCAATCATTTTCTAATTGATGCACTGGAGTGCAAGACTTCAGCATCCAGCTTCTTTGAAAAAATCCGTCGAATGACCAATAACTGTTTCCCAGATACTGTTCCTGTAAGTCTTATAAGTCTTCTTGGTGAAAGTTAAACTAACAGTACCAATTTGTTTTTCTAGAATCGATATCGAGAACTTATGAGAGTGTCTCGACTGTGGAGAGACTTGATGAGTCGAAAATGGTTTGGCTTTGCCCATAATGATGAGCAGAAACCGGACAAGGGTGATCTGGCTTGGTTTTGCCCTGCTTGTCCACAGCCTGGGATTAACCTACCTCCTGACTGGCAAGCCAGATATGAAAGGCAAGTCATTTATCCATCTCATTCTAAGGAGAGGCGACTCAATTTCTCTACCACACTTGAGAATATCATACTCACTGGCTAGCCCTACACTGCATAGTGTACGAGAGCTCCGGCCGGACTGACTTATGTTCTAATCAAGCTGGCCAGCATGGCATAGACTGGATGTAAAACCAGGCCGGCCGGCACATTAAATTGGCTTGCTAGCTTGACACAGATAGCATGCATAACCATGCTGGCCGGTTAAACTGAGGTGCATAGATGTCACTCAAAGACATGCCAGCCAGAGAGTTGGTCCGGAGAGAGACTTCTACTTTTCTTTTTTGCACATTTTTAACCTTATGCTTACCTGTTTGTACAGTTGGCTTGTTTCACAAAGATATGTGGTAGACGGGAACTTCACTGCTCAACATATGGTAATGAGAAAACCACAGTTGGACATTAGTTTGTCAGATGGGCTTGGGTATATGGTGAAAGATCAAGAATACCAGACTCATCTGTCATCGGCTGTAGAAAGTAAAGAGGTGAGTTGGCTCATGACAACCACTTTTCGTTCATGCTTCACTATCTTTGTAGTGGTCTTCTTGCAGCAATCATCGTGCAGTAAATGCAGCCAATATCAGCAGGAGCAATCTTCGAGCTACAGGTGTAGGAGCAACTGCTTGTGCTCGACATGGATGCTTTGTTCCTCATAGTATAGTTGATTTTCAGAAGGGCGAAAGGTCTGTGTATGTCCTCCAAATCAACATGTTATGCAAGCTCAGGTAATTTTTAGACACATGAATATCGACTACTCAATATGCAATGCATTGAATTATCATTCAGCTGGTATAGACTCTTCCCTCATCATTTATGATGTGGGGTGTCAGTGGAGCATTAATTTTCTACAGAGAGTAGCCCAGAGCAAGGGCTTGTCTGTACCTGAAAATATGCACATCGTTCCAGCAGTTGGAAAATTCCATCTTAGCGCTCACAAATTAGCTTGCTTTGCAAGGTACAGCCTCAACTTTATTCAAGGGGCTGGACATGTTGATGGGAAGATTTTGGAGACTCTGTGGGCACCATTCAATAAGATCTCCCCAACTGCTCGGTCAATGAGTCAGGCTCACTGTCAAGAAGTTCTTGATGATCATATGCGAGACTCAAACTGGAAAAAAATAGTGGGAATAAGTAAGCCCTCCAAATTTTGCATTTGAACAAGCTTGACAATTGAGCTTCCAGTGAAGACTCTCTTGAAAAAGTACAAACGGGCTCTCAAAGGTGTTGATGACACAAAGTCTCCCTTTGACGAGCTCACTCTGTCTCTGGACCCTGAGAAGATTTCGATATGGAAGATCAATGAGAAAAAGGCCATGGAACAACGTGGAGAGTATCTTGACATCTATCAGTTGCAGATGAACAAAGGTAAGTGAACTCTGTCTAGTTGTGAGGCTGCTATTCTTGTACAGACATCTGATCAGTATTTGTATCTAGCTCCAACTATGGCAGAGATTAGACTCAAATTAACTGAGTCTGAGAATACCGACACTAGCAAACCTGGGACAGTCTCTTGGCTCATTACTGGCATCAATCTGGAGGATTTACAGTATGTAACCAATAAAAATAGAGAAACCGTTTGACATAGTACTATTTTAGGGATGGACTAAGGGCAGATATTCGACAACTTCCTACTGATGCAACCCCAGGACAGAAAGTTTCTATAGAAGAGAAGCGACAGAGATTGACAGCTAGGATAGCTAAATTTCATGAAACAGCTGATGCCATGACTGCTGGTATGGATCTTGGAACTGCAACAGTGCATTCCGACGATCCTAGATTCTGCTATGCAGGTCATGATGAAAATGGTTGGGGAGAGGTCTCAGATGAAGAGATCTCAGAGTATATTGACGAAGAAATCTTGGCTGAAGAGATGGGTATCTGGATGCCATCATCAGTGCCCTACCAGGATGCATTGGCTCTCGGACTGGGTCCCCTCCAAGCTGAAGAATTAGAACTTCGAAAGGGCCAAGCCATTGACTGCCTCGAAAAGCTTCGAATGGCCCTTGGTCATAAGGCTATCATCTATCGTCAGTATTTTCGAAGTGCTAATTCTACATGGGCTGGGACTAGGTCAAAGCAAGAAGCTCAACGCTGTCAGCTCAAAATTGACAAGTGTGTAAGAAGCTATCAGAGGGCAAGGTCAGCAATGGAAGGTCTAGGCATGGACAAAGCCACCTTGGGGAGTCTTTATCAGCCAATATCGCCTACAGAGCTCAGTATAGACAAAGAGGTGACAGAAGAAAATAGATTTGGACAAGGGTCAGACAGGCTGGCTTGGTTTTGGAGGGGAAATAATGCAAGCCAAGGTCAAGACGATGCCTGGATAGATGAATGTAAGAAAAAATCTTTATCTCTATGATATGTCACTAAAGCTCCAACCGATCTAGTCTACAGGGTGAACTGGTTGAAGGCTAAGGCTAGATGGAATAGATGGCAAGAGGAATTAAGGCTGGTAAGACATGAAATGGGTTGGACCATAAACTGGTTCAAGTACCACCAGAATGAATGGGAGAGAAGGGGTGGCCAAGCCACCAGACCTGGTCATCAAGCCTATGCTTATCAGCAGGTCTTGATGTGGGGAAGATTTGTTGAGGAGGCAGAGAAAAATTTCAATGGATGTCAATTTATACTTTGATCTGGTATACTGTCTTTGCTAGGAAAAATATGACAGGATAATTCTCAATGCTAATGAATGACAAGGTAGCTTAGCTAGCACTAGCTCCACTCTATGTAGTCCACAGCTGGCCGAGATAATTGTATTTAAGATATGGACTGGCCAGATGGTTCCTACAGCATGTATGTACATGGCTGGCCCTTATAAGAGTATATAACTAGCTTATATCTACCCTATGCAGTCCATGTAATTCTGATACCAATAACTGGTTAGCCTTGATTCTACAATAGACAGAATCAAGTCGGCCGGTATGAAATGTTGAAACCAATAACCAGCCAGTCTTGATCATACATGTCGTAGGAACTATCTGACCAGTATACAAATCTGAAACCAATGACTGATCAGCCTTGATTCTACTATTGTACAATTAAACCGAGCAATATTAAAACTAATAACTGGCCAGTCTTGATTCTACATGTTGTAGAATTAAACCGGCCGGGATGCAATGTTGGAATTGAAAACCAGCCAGTCTTGATTCTACTGTTGTAAAATCAAACCGGCCGGAATGCAATGTTGTGATTGAAAACCAGCCAGTCTTGATTCTACTATTGTAGAATTAAACCGGCCGGGATGCAATGTTGTGATTGAAAACCGGCCAGTCTTGATTCTACATGTTGTAGAATTAAACCGGCCGGGATGCAATGTTGTGATTGAAAACCGGCCAGTCTTGATTCTACTATTGTACAATTAAACCGGCCAGGATGCAATATTAAAACTGATGACTGGCCAGTCTTGATTCTACATGTTGTACAAGCTATCTGGCCAGTATGAAATTCTGTAACTAATGACTAGTATAGAAATTACAAAACAATAATTAGCTAGTCTTGATTCTACTATTGTACAATTAAACCGAGCAATATTAAAACTAATAACTGGCCAGTCTTGATTCTACATGTTGTAGAATTAAACCGGCCAGGATGCAATGTTGGAACTGATAACTGGCCAGCCTTGTTTCTACTGGTGTAAAATCAAACTGGCCAGGATGCAATATTAAAACTGATAACTGGCCAGTATGACATTCTGTAACTAATGACTAGTACTCGTATAGAAATCCCAAACCAATAATTAGCCAGGCTTGATTCTTCTATAGGATTAAACCGGCCAGCTTTAATTCTACGGTTGTAGAATTAAACTGGCCAGGATGCAATGTTGGAACTGATAACTGGCCAGTCTTGATTCTACATGTTGTACAGGCTATCTGGCCAGTATGCAACTTAATAACAAGTGACTGGCTGACTTGATTTTACAACATGTAGAACCAAGACTGGCCAGTTATCAGTTTCAACATTGTGTCCTGGCCAGTTTGATTCTTGATTCTACAACAGTGGAGTCAAGGCTGGTCAGTCATTGGTTACAGAATTGCATACTGGCAAGCTTGATTCTACCTGCAGTGAAATCAGGCCAGCCAACTAGCTAGCTGAATTCTATATCTTGCAGGCATAAAGCTAGCCACTACCACTGATGGTAATCATTTATATATATATTAACACTAAACACTAATTCTACATACTCCGGCCAGCTGTATTATACATTTTGTAGGCATAAGGCTAGTTATTGTGTTTACAGTAATTCTAATATGTATATATCTACACCAGTCAACACTGATTCCACATACTCCGGCCAGCTGGAGTTTGCATACTCCGGCCAGTGACTGGCTGGCCATGATTCTACAGACTTTTGGCACATCCGGAGCCAGGGTTCTACATGGAAAGTGACTGAAGGGTCTGATGCGCTGATGCGGTTGGAGTGGGAGGTGAATTCCAAAGTGGTGTGGGAACCTTTGGGAAGCTGGACAGTATCCAGGTGCGTGAGTGGGTGGCTGATGAGGCTGATGATGGATCCATGGTCGTCGGAGGCGCTGTTGCGAGTAGGTGAATCAATCCGTCAATGTGTTGTACGCTTAGTTGCCAAATTGAAGAATCAAGACAGTCGCAGTTTTTCATATCTTCAAAATATTCAAAGACTATGTAGGAGTAAAAGATTTCTGCAAGAGCAAGAGCGCATATACTCACCTGAGACGCTTGTGGGTGGCTGATGAGTGCATCAACTTGAAAGGTCATTCAGCGCGCGCGTCAGTAACGAACACAGAACACAGACACACATCATTCGGTTCAGCCATTCCACCCACCTCAACGTTTAGACTGACAGAACAGCCATATGCACGGATACCCCGATCTATCAGGCTCTCGAGATTGTATGTATAGAGGATCGCGAAGCTCAATGACGCCATCGCAGACGTCCTGCAGGAGCATACCACGATCCTGAAACCGGTACGATGATTGGAGGCGTGTTTGACGAGCTTGATGTAGCGCGCGGACCAAAGAGAGTACTAGCTTGGGACGAGGACAATTGGAAGCGTTAACGTTTTTGGAGGACCATACGGGTACGTTTACGTTGGGAATCCTTCGTGTATGGACGGGAAAAAGATGTAATCCAGAAACGGATGGTAAAAGTAGCACTAGCTAGGATGATAAGAATGAGGATTTCGAGTGTCCTATAATTCCAAGGATTATAGGACTTGATGAAATTGATGGTCAGGTAAACCTTTGATCTATGTTCACTCGACTGCGGCTGGGCAGGGAAAAACCGTGACAGGATAGGATATGTACAGCAAAATCTATTGTTTGTGTTCCCGATCACAGGAAGAGTCAGAGAAAGACGGAATGTGATTTGCGATGCATGTAGAAGCTAGCAGCGATAGTGGAAACAACATAACGTACGGCTGTGCTTTAGTATCATGGAAAACATTGTGTATCAGGAGTCAAAATCCTACTGGACTAGTGGCGGGGGCGCCGCCCCGGGCGTACGTGACGAAGTGAACTGAATAAGCCCTGCCCAAGACAAACACATATGGTATGATTCATGTTTAGTGTGTGGCGCGATATACAAGGGTATCATAACGAAAGCAAAGCAGCCTCCTGTTCCCGACACGTGTGCCAAGACGTGCCATGCGCAAGACGACTCAAATCGAACTGCGAGGCACGATCGTGTATCACCAGTGTATTTCCTGGAGCATACATCACTGGGTGAAAATTGAGTGGGATCCAGAGAAGAAGCCGTCCGTCAGGACCTACAACCCATCCATCCTCGTTCGCAACAATAGAGAGTGGGGTTGAGGCATCATGGAGAAAGGAGGAGGCAGAATGAAGAGCGTAGGATGGGTCAGGTGAAAAGCATACTGCAGGCGGGTGGGGCTGGTTAAAAAATTCGATATCCCACACCCGGATGGCCTTGTCTTCTGAACCAGACACAATGCGCTTGCCGTCTGGTGAGATTGCAATAGAATAAACGCATCCGGTGTGCCCTTGGAAAATGGGACCCACTCCTTGGCCAGTCTTCATATCCCACACCCGGATCGTCTTGTCATCTGAACCGGACACAATGTAGTGCCCATTTAGTGAGATCGCGACAGAGCGAACAAAGTGGGTGTGCCCTTGGAGAGGGGAACCCAATGCCTTGCCGGTCCTAATATCCCACACACGAATAGTTCTATCATTTGAACCAGACACGACAAATTTTGCATCCGGTGACACTGCGACAGACTGAACCCAGTCAGAATGTCCTTCGAGAGGATCGCCCACTGCCTCGTGAGTCTCCATATCCCACACCCTGATTGTCCTGTCATCTGAACCAGATACTATGTGTTTGCCATCCGGCGAGATTGCAACGGAGTTAACCTGCTGAGTGTGGCCTTTGAGAGGAGCACCAACTGCCTTGCCGGTTGCTACATCCCACACCTGGACTGTGTCGTCCCATAAACCCGAAACGATGCGATGTCCATCCGGCGAGATTGCAGTAGATAAGACCACGTAAGTATGGGTTTGGAGAGGCGCACCCAAAACCTTGCCAGTCCCAGTATCCCACACTCGAATGCTTTCATCGGCTGAACCAGACACGATGCACTTCCCGTCCGACGAGATTGCAACTGACTGAACAGATTCTGTGTGTCCTTGGAGAGGGGCAACTAATGCCTTGCCAGTCTCTATATCCCACACTCGAACTGTCTTATCATCTGAACCGGACACGATGCGATGTCCATCTGATGAGACTGCAACGGAGTTGATGGCGCCAGTGTGGCTTTGAAAGGTAGCGACTGATACCTTGCCCGTAATAGTGTCAGTATCCCACACTCGAATCGTCTTGTCGCCTGAACCAGAGACTATGCAACTTCCATCCGATGAGACTGTGATAGATTCAATTGAGGCAGTGTGGCCTTGAATAGGGGATCCTAATGCCACGCCAGTCTTCGCATCCCACACTCGGATCGTCTGGTCCTCTGAACTAGACACAATACGATTTTCGTTCGGCAAGAATACAACTGAATGAACAGAGTCTGTGTGCCCTCGGAGAGGGGCACCCAATGCCTCACCAGTCTCCATATCCCACACTCGAATCGTGCGGTCTCGTGAACCAGACGTGATGCATTCCCCATCCAGTGAGATTGCAACAGACAAAACTTGGTCGGTATGACCCTGGAGAGGGGTACCCACTGCCTGGCCAGTCTTCATATCCCACACCCGGATCGTCTTGTCGTAGGAACCAGACACGATATGGTGCCCGTTTGGCGAGATCGCGACAGACTTTACACAGTCAGAATGTCCTTTGAGAGGGGTGCCCACTGCTTCCTTAGTCTCCATATCCCATACTCTGATCGTCTTGTCAGCCGAGCCCGATACTATGTGATTTCCATGCAGCGAGATTGCAACGGAACAAACATAGCCAGTATGCCCGTGAAGGGTACCCAATGCCTTGCCAGTTGCTGTTTCCCATACCCGGACTGTTTCATCCGCTGAACCTGAAACGATGTGATGTCCATCCGGTGAGAATTCAACGGACGCAACATAGTCAGTGTGGCCTTGAAGAGGGGCACACAATGTCTCGCCAGTCTCTGTATCCCACACCTGGATCGTGTCATCGAATAAACCACATGCAATATATTTTCTGTCTCGTGACATTGCAACCGACGAAACCTCAGCATTCGTGTGTATTATCTTTTCCATCGAAGGCCAATTTTCGACATGGCCAGCGATAATGCGGGGGGTGTGGGGAAACTTTGTGGCGAACTTGCGAAATATTCTTGACTGTGTTGGAGCGAATGGTAGAGCGGACAGGTATAAATGGGGAGTGCTGCGTATAATGGTGGGTGCGAAAGTGCGGACGAAACGCAAGGTATCTCTGATAGCGTCACCGACGTGCCTAAACTCGGCATGACCCTGCGACCACACCACTACTCGTAAGAATTTGTTGGGAAAAGAATGAACTTGAGCGACGCACCGAAAGCCAATCTGCAATATATGAGAGGGTCACTACCGAGCCACCGAGGCTTCTCATCAGAGCCAGTGCTTCCAACCACCAAAGAAGGCGCTCTCCATCGAAGAAAGCCTCAACTCCCTTAGCGAGCGGTGATCCAAAGGACGTAGAGCTGACATGAGTCCCCCAAAACCGACATGAGTATGATAGCTCAGCTGGAATGGATTCTTTGACTTGTTTCTCCAAATCAGGGACGGAAGAGTTAGGCAAGTACGAGTTCTCTAAGGAGCAAATGTTGAAGCGAAGCCCGCGCTTCGAGTCCATAACCCGAAGCGAGGCAAAGGCAAGATCTCTATGCACTGCTGATGCATCAACAGAGAAGTCATGGCTCCGCGATTCATCTGTGAGGAAGTCGTAGAATGATGCATGAAGGGGACGTATGGGAGTATCGGAATCCGAAGTGCCGGTCAAAAGGGATCCCAACGGGCCAAGGACCCGGTCTATTTCGTAATCGCAAGTCCCTTCGGGAAAATACAGCCGCATAGCCGTCAACGCAGGCATGGGAAGTGGTTCCAACGAGGCAAGGACTTGCCCCATGACCGAGCAAAACACCGGGATAGCTTCCTTGCGCTCGTCCTCCGGCATGATATCTCTCAAGATGCGTGTATAAATATCATCCAACAGACGCGTTCCTTTCTCAGACGTTCCAGTGATCACAGCTTTGCAACGACCCACCGGACCCACGCCCACCTTGTTCGTACCCTTGATGTACTCACAGGCGAGACGAGCCCATTCAAACAGGCCGTCGGATTTTAGGGCAAGTGCCTTGAAGTGCGCATCGTTGAAGATGTGATGCAGGTCTTCCAACTCGTGAGAGATATAAAGCTGTATGTCAAGTTCTGTGGATGCAGACGAGATAGCATCCAAAGAAACGTGGTGAACATGTGGCACGGCGTGCAGAGTGTTGTGAATGTCTTCAAGTGGACGGGAAGTGAGGAGAATGCGGAAGTTGGCTGGGAGTTCGGATAGTTGTGACGTAGAAGTGTTTAATTTACCAGCGAGTAGACGAAGAATCTGTTCCTGGGAATTAGCTTCACCACTCTCATCCAATGCATCAATGACAATTAGGACGGGTGCAGCGATGGCTTTTGAGGCTATGTTTATGGGACTGATGATTAGTTCCTGCCATTGTTTTGCGATATCTGGAGTCCGCTTGAGTCCGTTGTGGTCACGAACTGCCTGCGCCAACGCTCGCCGCACGATAGGGTTGCAGTCCGCCAAATCGCTTGCGATCGTCGTGAATGTTTTGTCTTGACGGCGATCCGCTTGCTGAGTACGATCAAAGCAGAAGCATGAGCCAAGACCACCGCGTTCGATGTACCAGCTGGATATTGTATGGGCGACAGCCGATTTACCCTTGCCTGCTGTGCCAGACAACCACAAGATGCGTGGAGCACCCTCCTCGGTGCTGCTGATCCAGTTCTGAATATCCTTTAGGAGGTCTTGCCGAGTATTTGGTAAACAAATTTTAGACGTATTTAATCCGGCTCCCGTTGCGTACTCCATGCCTACGAGGTCCAAACTCTCAGCTATGCCAAGGATTGTGGAATGTCAGATGAGGCTCAAAGAGACCTGAAACCAGAATCATACCCATATGGTGGACGATCACAAGGGTATCACGAGCCGCCTTGTCTCGGAACTGCTGCATGAGACTATCGAGGACATTGTTGTAGTTCTGGATCGTGCTGTCCGTTTCCCCGAGAACGTGTTTGCCAAGTCTTATCCCTATACGAACAGAGGCAACATTGAGTTTGGTGGATGAAGCAATGGGATACACTCACAGGCACTCTTCGTCTGAGAGTAATGGCTGATGAAATCAGCACACACCAGTGTCTGCTTTGCTATCTTCACATATATCGCTAGCATAGATTCAATCTTGGCCAACTCCTCCTCCTCCATGATAAAAGTATAGACTTCAGATATCTTTGAGAGCAGAAGGGAAGCAGCGACATCACGGTCTGCCTGATCGAGAATCATCTGTTACCGAGATTTTGTCAACCTGCAACGGCGATGATTGAGAAAGAGTCCTACCTTGGATGCGCAAGTGAAGATGCTCAGTGCCACCTTCGCGTAGGGATGGACCTGCGCACAAATGTTAGTCACGTACAGAAGAGAGATGGATGGCTTGTACATCTGCAATCGCGTTAGCGATGGAGTTGAATGCCTTCAAGGGTTTGAGCAACACGGAGAACGTATCGATTGGATCAGAAACAGATGGCAGGTTGTTGGTCACGGAAGAAATATCTTGGAGTATTGTTGGGACGTGGCTGGCGCCTGCGAGACCTTTGTTAGCATTGGCAATTCTGTCGTTCACAAATTTCGGGTCGAGATGTTCGGCCTAAGGATAGACGTCAGCATATTGTCGAAAGAGATGGTTAAAAATATTTCGAACTTTGTTAGTCGAACTTACTTCTATGATCACTGAATTGGAAGACTGCCCAAAATTTGGTTCGAGAGTGGGAGGGATGAGATCCTGCAGCAGCGATTAGTACCAATCATAGCTCACGGGGCACATTCAGGGTTTAGATTACGCTTACCTTAGTTGACTGAACAGGTCGAATGTCCTGCAGGCTGGAACTTGCAGCCGTGGGTTCAGGGTTGGAGGATTGTCGAGCGCTTCGAGCGAAGCGCTTGGTCGCCTTGCCAAAGAGCTTGCAAACTGGGCCTGGGCGTCGTGCATGAGATCCATTCCTCGAAGGGGAGAGAAAGGACGGCTGTAAAAATTAGAGATGATATAAATACTGATATGAAAGTTCATACATTGTGACTGGCTGTCGTCTCCTCTACCAAGCGAGGGTCTGAATGACTTGGCTTCGACCGCCCCCAGCGTTTCTTGCGAGGAGGATTGTTTTCATCCATCTAGTAAGTGGGAAAGATATCTGGATGTGCGTGTTTTGGTGCAATGTAAGTAGGAGGCGTGGTGGTAGTGGACTGGCGTCTACATGTTTGCAGAAAGGATTATTATCAATGATGAACGTGCGGTTGGAAGCGCCCGTACGTTAGCCTGAACTATTAATAGCATGTCATCTCGAAGGCCGAAGCAGGTTAATCGCCATCAGGAAACCTCACCGATCGATGCTTAAATATTCAAATATTCACAGCGCCCCCCTGGTATATGTGTAGAACGCGTACTGTGCCTTTACAGGAATCAAGGTGAATGTCTGGTGGGCATTTACCGGGACCAGCAATAGTAGCACATACGTACAACAGTTTTGCGCATCTGGATTGCAGCGACTAGAATTCAAGAGCCTGCAATTCATTATCACTACGGTATTTGATATTCCTTATAACACCTTTGATGCCTTTTATCACTCTTTTGTGACCCTCAACCCATTTCCGTGCTCAATTGTCCTGCCTCTCTCAATCTCAAACCATTCCCCGTTCTTAATTCACAAATTCAATCTTTTGTGCAGTAGGTACATGCAGCTACCACGTCAGCCCTGTTACGGGCGTAGCTATTTTGACGCGGTCCTGCCGCGCCTGCCGTGGTCGTGACGCGGCTGTGACGCGCATGTGACGCGGCACTGACGAGCCTTGACGGCCACTGACGCGCCATTCATATATGTTCTACATTCGACTTCCAGATCAAGTTGGATGAGTTCACGACTATGTGCGTGTATTGATATTTCCTTCGAGATATAGGCGTGGGCCGATGAAGCCTTTGCCCGTGATCGTCAACGTGCCAATGGGTACAAGTTTACGAGGGATTGCGCGGTGACATACTTCATGACGGATGTGGTGTGGAATTGGGGTATGGGTGCGCCTGCAGCGGTGAGTGACGATCACGTCTACCTTTTTTGTCCTTTCTCGATCTTGAAATTTTTGGAGATTGCGTAACTGTCATATTCCGTCTTCCGCACCACGTCCTGCACGCCCACATATCCTTCTTCCCATTTCAAGGATTTTGGGATCTCTTTTTTAAATACCTTCATTGTGCAAACATTCAAGTCTTTGCAATTATTCCTGCTGTTTCTGCTTGTACGAGGCTGAGAGCACTTGATTTCAATATCACTGCCTGTATTTTTCATGATGTTGATTAAAACATCAACATTGTCGACGGATTTCCTGAACGATCTCTCTCGACGTTATGTGATGCAGCTTTTTATTTTCATTTCTGGTTTACGCAAAATGACATGAGGTCTGTCAGATGTCCTGTGATAGCGAGGCTTGTTGATAGCCGGCACTTTGTGCTGGATACTTTTTCTTAAAAATCAATGGCTTCGATGACTACCATTTAGTCTTCCATTTGCAGATCTACGATATTTTCGTTGTCCAGACGTCCTTGGTTGGAAGTACATGGATCACTCACCGCAGCCTAGTGCCATTTCAGACTTCGGGATCTCGAGCTTTCGCAGTTTGATAATGACAACTTTCGATGTAGACCACCATTCAGTGGGGTTGTGACATATTCCAGTGGGCCAGTGCAGACTAAAAATGCAGTCAACAGCGCCTATGAGGGGAGGGGTTGTGGTGCCATCGAGGCTTCTATGTTCAAGTGTACGACGAGACTGCAAAACTCGTAAGTACTTTAGTCATTCTATTTATTCAAGTATTTGAGACCCCTATTCCAATATCTCCATTGCTCGAGCGGCAGTCAATTCGGAAGCAAGACATTGATCAAATCAACATCAAACTAGTAATAATTCTTGTGTCGTGCCATCAGCCATCATCTGCATCGATGCTGATCGAGGTAGAAATACGACTCACCGTAGTTGACATGGCACTCATTCGTCTTACATACACGTCCAGACGGGCTACCACGCCGGTGAGTCGCGTGGTTAAATCCAAGACGCAGATACTTATACTCACATATATGAGGCCCAACATCGTACATTTCTGAGGAGGGCAGCAAGTTGCTGCCGCGCACAATATAGGACAGTGTCCGCTGCTATCAATGTTAACGGGACCGGCAGATGCTAATGCTATCAAAGCGGAAGCAACGGCGATGACAGAGGGGAGATGCATTGTTTGTGAGGATATGATATGGGGTCAAATCGATCTGAATGAGACGGTAAGCAGACGGCTTTTTATACTATGCATTGAACATTATTCTTCCATGGTCCGGGTGACGCAGGAAGAACATATCCATTTGAAGTCCCTTATCGAACATGCAACTAGTGACACGTCCAGGGCCTTGAATTTGGACATCTCTTTCCGTCAGTGTGAAGGTTGACGCCCTCGTATTTCACAATACATTTCATCCCGCAGTTCCTTATGGTTCATATCTTCCGGTGCACGCACATAAACTTGTTTTTTGGAAGAGCGATATATATCTAGATCTGCGGTACTGCACTGACTAGGACCAGTTCTACCGGTCTGAGGGGAAATGCACTCAGCCGTATAATACTTACTAAAACAATTATCATCAGATTTCGCTATTGAAACATGTCAGATATGGGCTCTTCCCGACGATCTTAACCTTGAATAACTTTGGCTGTTACGAAAATTGGTGACTATTTCGTCAATCATCATTGGGTGGATAGTCTTCAGGTCAGGTCAGGCCGGCAATAGAGGTGCTGATTGTGTCGGCCTGACGAAGCCTTAAGACTGTCCATCCAATGATAATTGACGAAATAGTCACCAATTTTCGTAACAGTCAAAGTGAGTCAAGATTGTTGGGAAGAGCCCATACTGCCAGCCAGTTTGACAGAACCGGTCCTGCCTGGTAGATAGCGAAATTGGATTTTCTGCGCTGGCCGAGGCACGAGGTTAGCATAGAATTGAGTCTACGCATGAGTGAGCAAGGTGGCACACCTTGCTATGACCCATGACGATGGCATGATATGTCAGTCGTCCAGCAATAGCCCCTATCGTTTACTTTATCTTTCTCTATTACTCATCCGTTGCTTCCTCTCTCAGGATACGGACTAAACTACTCAATTCCTTCTTCTGCGGTGCACATTTGCCGGACTGAAAAGCCCACGCCCGAACATCCTTTTCTTCGTCATTTTGACACTGTCAAATTGCTGTATCTAAGTCATTGTCTAATTCATTTCGTTCTCGCTCACCAGCCACCACGCTACGAAAGATAGACCGGGAGAATGTCAATCCACAGGGGATCACAGCGAAAGATGTTCTATGTGATGCCCTTCTTCACCCTATAGTACTAGTAACCATTCTCGATCGACTCGAAGCAACTGCACTTCCTTGTAAAGTAGAAAAAAATCAGTTGTACAGCCTGCTACAATTGAGAATTGCTTGATCGGATGATGAAGGATCCATCTACACCTGCCGGTTACAGAGACCGATACTGCGGTGTCGTAGATGGTTCAACTCCATGCTGCGAATACTTATGGAGCAACTAAGATCGAACTCGATGAAGGCATTTCTTCCATGTTCAGATCGAACTGAAATGTCATACTTATTCTTGTGCTACGTGTCATGACGAGGTCCGAGGACCTCAGTCTTCACGATGATGGCCGTGCCATCAAGAAGAAAAGAACTAATGAACGCTGACACGTTGTTCAATCAGGTGCTCCTTATTTCTACCAGGACTTTGATAGAAATGAAGATATGCTTAGGATCGAGGATTGCAGGCAGAATCTCTAGGGAGGGACATGTCCCGCAAATTTCAACAGTAAGTCATTAAGACAACGAGACAATCTATCCGCAGGGAATACCGTCAAGACATGTTTGCACTACTGGCGGCGTCATTCACCTATCACCATTGAGATGCAAATTCACAAGACAGTTCTCGGATACTAGCACCGCATAGGCAGGTGCAGTAACCAGACACGGCTGTAGATGCAACATCGAGGTGGGGAAAGACGGTGTATGTTCAAGTAATTCTCAGAGCTTCGCAGTGGTGCCGGTTCCAAGAGGTTTTGTACTTTATGACTGAAGGCCCCATCATTCAGCCGCAAAATTTGTAGCATATTACTCACCACCTTCGCGATCAATAATGTTGAAAGCAGCTATAATTGTGGTGTCTGGGAGGACACTGCGAAGCATTTCAATGCCTTCTTCGACTACATGCGGAATCTGTGAGCGTCCTGTGGTGAGAGAGGAGAGATCTGAGGGGACATACAACGACCAATAAGGCTTCGTCTGAGTCGAATACTTGCTTGTAGGACAACGTACCAGAATCATCTTCTCGGTCGCAAAGCTCTGCTTCGAACAAGTTGCTATCCACAAAGTATAGCGCGGTGTTTGAGGACAGCCCGCGCAGGGCCCAAAATATGTGTCATGGATAGAGTGGCCGTTGAAGACCCGTTATTTCATCGAATTGAACTGAAATTGCGGTATCTTTGAATGGCTCCTAGGGAACGAGGTGAGCACGTGGGTGTGCATAGTACATTAATGAGAGTACAGGAACTTGGTTCAGTATCCGTGAAAGACGCTCCATAGACAAGCTGAGCGCAAAGAAATTGAACAGAAACATAAACGCCATCATGATGTCGAGTCATCTGCCATCACAGTAAATGCCACCGAGTACTGCGATTATAGTGAGCACGGTACCACCCACTGCATCACTGATGACGGCTTTTGTGAAGTATATTTTCCAGGGCTAGAGCACAACGCAGAGGTAGCACTAGTGGCTAGTAGTAGTGAGTGACGCACCTAAAGTAGTACTCGGAGCGGAGGACATCGAAAACCGACGAACCTCACGTGACAAATGTGACCAAAAGGTGACAAAAGCATGTATCGTGCAGTCCATGTCTCGACGGAGTCTCTGCCGAGCTATAGAAGCTCAGATTGCACCCACTCTGGTGGGCGTTGACCGGTCGACCAGCAATGCCTAAGATCTAGATCTACATGATGCGTACATTATTTGGATTGCAGCGACTAGCAGTAATTCAAGAGCCTGCAATTCATTATCACTACGGTATTTGATATCCCTTATAACACCTTTGATGCCTTTTCTAACTTATCAACATCTTTTTTCATGACGCATTCACCCTCAACCCATTTCCGTACTTGTCCTGCCTCTCTCAATCTCAAACAATTCCTAAGTCTTAATTCACAAATTCAATCTTTTGTGCAAGAGGTACATGCAGCTACCACGTCAATTCTGTCACTTAACCTTATACCTGAATCATCTACTTCTTCAAACGAATCCTCGCCCGACGTGTTTCATCAGCACATCCACTGTGCGTGGATTGGTCTTTCCTTCGAGATATAGGCGTGGGCCGATGAAGCCTTTGCTCGCGATCGTCAACGTACCAATGGGTACAAGCTCATGAGGGATTGCGCGGTGATATCCTTCATGACGGATGTGGTGTGGAATTGGGGTATGGGTGGGCCTGCAGCGGTGAGTAACGATCACGTCTACCTTTTTTGTCCTTTCTCGAGCTTGAAATTTTTGGAGATTGCGTAACTGTCATATTCCGTCTTCCGCACCGCGTCCTGCACACTCACATATCCTTCTTCCCATTTCCAGGATTTTAGGATCCTATGAGGGGAGGAGTCGTGGTGCCATCAAGGCTTTTATGTCCAAGTGTACAACGAGACTGCAAAACTCGTAAGTACTTTAGTCATTCTATTTATTCAAAGTATTTGAGATTTCCTCTATTCCAAGATCTCCATTGCTCGAGCGGCAGTCAAATTTGTTCAGAACCAAGACATTGATAAAATCAATATCAAACTAGTAATAATCCTTATGTTGTGCCATCAGCCATCATCTGCACCGATGCTGATTGAAGTAGAAATACCACTCACCGTAGTTTACATGGCACTCATTCGCATGTCCAGACGGGCTACCACGCCGGTGAGTCGTGTGGTTAAATCCAAGACGCAAAATACTTATACTTACATATATGATGCCCTCCTGAACACATTCCTGCCCAGGGCAGCAACTTGCTGTCTCGCACGATACAGGACACTCTTCGCTCCTATCAATGTTAACGGGACTGGCAGATACTAATGCTATCAAAGCAGAAGCAACGGCGACGACAGAGGGGAGATGCATTGTTTGTGAGGATGTGATATGGGGTCAAATCGATCTGAATGAGACGGTAGGAAGACGGCTTCTTATACTATGCGCCGAGTATTATTCTTCATGGTCCGGGTGACGCAGGAAGAACATCTCCATTTGAAGTTTCTTATCGAAAATGCAACTAGTGACACGTCCAGGTCCTTGAATTCGGGCATCTCTTTCTATCAGTGTGAAGGTTGACGCCCTCATGTTTCACAGCACATTTCATCTTGCAGTCCTTATGTTCATATCTTGCAGTGTACGCACATGAATTCTTTTTTTTGGAAGAGCGATATGTATCTAGATCTGCGGTACTGCACTGACTAGGTTCAGTTCTAGGTCTGAAGGGGAAATGCACTCAGCCGTATAATACTTTAAAACAGCGAGAGTAGTCTTTTGGGGATGAATGATGTTGCTGTGATACTAGTGTCTGAGTTGGGAAAATCATATTTCGAAATATGTCAGGCTCTTCCCGACAATCTTGACCTTAACTCACTTTGGCTGTTACGAAAATTGGTCAATTGTCATTGGATGGATGTCTTCAGGTCTGGCCAGGCCGGTGCCGATTGTAGTAATGACCTGACGAAGCCTACTGCTAGTTGCTGCAATAATCCAGATGATGTACTACGCATGTAGATCTAGATCTTAGGCATTGTTGCTGGTCAATGCCCACCAGAGTGGGTGCAATCAGAGCTTCCATAGCCCGTAAGACTGTCCATCCAATGATAATTGACGAAATAGTCACCAATTTTCGTAGCAGTCAATATCATTGGAAAGAGCCCATATGTACTGCCAGCCAGTTTGGCAGCACCAGTTCTGCCTGGTAGACTAAGATAGCGGCAGAATTGGATTTCTGCGCTGGCCGAGGGCCCGAGGCTAGGATGTTCAGCAAGCTGCACTCGGAACGCTGACTCTTGTCAATGCATTCCTTGTCCGGGGCCGATCGCGACCCCGTGGCAAAATATCATGATGTCGGTTAGGTTACGGAAGTTCCTCCTTCTTGCCAACAGCCGGCTGCACTTTGTGCCGGATACTTTTTCTTTGGCTTTGATGACTGCCATATAGTCTTCCCTCTGCAGATCTACATACGATTTTTTCGTTGTCCAGACGTCCTTCAAGCTCAAGGTTGGAAGTGCACGGATCACTCACAGCGGCCTAGTGCCATTTCAGATTTCGGGACCTTAAGCTTTCGCAATTTGACAATGACAACTTTCGATGTAGACCACCATCTAGTGGGGTTGTGACATATTACAATGGGCCAGTGTAGACATCCAACAGCGCCTATGAGGGGAAGAGTCATGGTGCCACCGAGGCTTTTATGTTCAAGCGTACAACGAGACTACAAAACTGGCAAGTACTTTTGTCTATTTGAGATTTCCCCTATCCAAGATCTCCGTTGCTCGAGCGGCAGTCAATTTTGTTCAGAAGCAAAACATTGATCAAATCAATATCACACTAGTAGTAATTCTTGTGTCGTTCCATCAGCTATCATCTGCACCGATGCTGATCGAAGTAGAAATACGACTCACCGTAGTTGACATGGCGCTCATCGGTCCAGACACGCCCAGATGGGCTACCACGCCGGTGAGTCATGTGGTTAAATCCAAGATGCAAATACTGATATACACACCCATATGAGGCCGAACAGCTTACATTCATCCTCAGGGCAGCAATCTTGAAACGCGCACACTGTAGGACACTCTCCGCTGCTATCAATGTTAGCGGGACTGGCAGATACTAATGCTATCAAAGCGCAAGCGACGGCGACGACAGAGGGGAGATGCATTGTTTGTGAGGATGTGATATGGGGTCAAATCGATCTGAATGAGACGGTAAGCAGACAGCTTCTTATACTATACGCTGAATATTATTATTCATAGTCCGGGTGACGCGGGAAGAAAATATCCATTTGAAGTTCCTTATTGAAAATGCACCTAGTGACACGTTCAAGGCCTTGAAGTCGGACATCTCTTTCCGTCAGTGTGAAGGTTTGTTTCACGACACTGACACATGTCTAATGATGCGTCCCTTCCCTAATTGGACAACGCGTATATCATCTGACTCGTATACATACTAGAGACACGTACGCTGCTAAACATTATCCGATCTGTACCCCTTCAATCCTATATGCTTTGCTAGTGTTGGTCGAAAATCAGTTGTACAGCCTGCAATAGAGAATTGCTCCATCTACACTTGCCGGTTACAAAAACCGATACTGCGGTGTCATGGAGGGTTCGACTTCATGCTGCGAATACTTATGGTGTCACCAAGATCGAACTCGACGAAGGCATTGTTTCCATGTTCAGATAGAACCGAAATGTCGTAGTCTTGTGCTACGTGTCATGACGTCGCCGAGGTCCTCAGTCCTCACGGCGATGGTCGTGCCAGCAAGAAGCAAAATACTGGGGAACGCTGACACGTTGTTCAATCAGGTGCTCCTTATGTTTACAAGGCCTTTGAAATATGCTTGCCAGCGAGGAGCGCAGGCAGAATCTCTAGGGAGAGACGTGTCCCGCAAATTTCAACAGTAAATCAACGAGACAATCTATCTGCAGGGAACACCGTCAAGACATGTTTGCACTACCGGCGGCGTCATTCACCTATTACCATTGGGATGTAAATTCACCCAAGGCGGTTCTCGGATACTAGCACCGCATATGCGAATGATAGGCAGGTACAGGACCTAGACACGGCTATAGATGCAACATCGAGGTGGGGAAAGACGGTGTATGTTGAAGTGATGCCCAGAACTTCGCAGTGGTGCTGGCCCCAAGAGGTCTTGTACTTTTGACTGAAGGCCCATCATTCAGCTGCAAAATTTGTAGTATATTACTCACCACCTTTGAGATCAATAATGTTCAAAACAGCTATAATTGTCGTGTCTGGGAGGACCCTGCGAAGCATTGCCTTCTTCGACCACGTGCGGGATTTGTGAGCGTCCTGTTGTGAGAGGGGAGAGATCTGAGAGGGAATACAGCTACTAGTGAGGCTTCGTCTGAGTCGAACGCCTGAATATTTGCTTGTGAAACACGTACCAGCATCATCTTCTCGGTCGCAAGGATATTCACAAAATATGGCACCCGTGTTTGAGAAGTGGGCCCGCTCCGAATCAGGGCTCAAAGTGTGTGTCTTGGGTTGAGTGGACGTCGTAGACCCGTGATTTCATCGAACTGAACTGAGATTGCGGTATATCTGAGTGGTTACTAGGGAGTGATGCGAGTACGTGAGTGTGCACATATTAAGAGTACAGGAACTTGGTTTAGTATCCGTGGAAGACTATAGACAAGCTGAGTGCGAAAAGATTGATCGGAAACATGTCTTGGATCATGTGAGGCCGCTTACCCCGTCTGTAACAGTAAATGCCACGGAGCTCTGCGATTATAGTGAGCGCGGCGACATCACTTATGACAGCTTTCTGCCAAGTACATTTTCCAGAGCTAGACAACGCAGAGTCAGTGCTAGTGCTAGTGAGGGATGCACCTGCAGTAGGGACCGTTATAGATGTGAGAAGGGATGCCGAAGGTGAAAGAGGAATGTACGAATCTACTTTTCGATAGAGTGTCCCGGGCCGAATCAAGACAGTTGTCAATCTCATCGCAAACGATGCTTTCCGCAAGCCTAAAGTAAGTACTAGCAGGTTCAGTATGATACGGGATACTCACCACTGATTTGCGCCAGTACCATGGTTAGCAAGATAAGTTGTGTATGGTCCAGGAACTGCAGAATAAGTGACTCAGCCGTCGTTCGGAAGTACAAACATAGATTTTGTTCGGATTACTTCGCGCGTCAGTTGTTTCTATTATTACTTGTCTATAATTTTTATGCGTGCGAATTCTAGGTCTGCTCATATCACTCTCGTACCCCCTCCCCAAACTCTTCGACGAGCTGCGCAGTCACCAGTGTTCAACAAAGAGACCTCGTTTCATCGAAAGTTGGCATCTACAGGCTGTGGTAGCTACTCATGATAATTTGTTCAGCGACTGATACCAATGGTAGCCACCTCACTACATCGCGCATCAACCGGTTGCTGAGACCTTTGCGTAACAAATGCTCGAGTTTGAGCAAGTTATTGTCCACCGCTCGACACGGTGCGTCTCGCAGCACATACTCATCACATAGTCAAGACTGGCCACTTGATTGCCCTCCACCACTTGCCCTCCTTCCTCAACCGTCATCTGCCACTAGAGGGAGGTTCAACTATTTCGACAGAGCAGAAGACTTGGAGCTCTCTCGTTTGATATACGCAGTTTGTGATGCTTTTAGATGTATCCTCCAGGTCACGCACGGATCGGTGCCAGGGGAGTCGATCCCCAGCCTAGCAGCTATGTGCTGCTTCGTAGTTGGAGAAAACGTTCCGCTGAGTGGCATCGGAACGCGTGACAGCCAAGAGGAAGTTGTAGATGAAGATGAGCTGATGAAAACTGTGGAGGATATCTATGATACTATCCCAACCTATTATCGACGGTGAGTGGGCCTGGCTACTTATCTACGAAGTTTCATTGTCCGCCCTGCAGACATTCGATCGCGTCCCATGCACTTTTCCTTGTGCTAGCAATTTGTCCGCACCACCATACGCTTGTCAGCGCTCTTTTGGATATCTGCTTGTCTTTTGGTCTAGTTCACGAATCTCGTTGTTTGCTCAGCGTTATCCTTGAAATTGCCTTTCTGTCCACCACCTCTCATCCTCCAATCACACACCCAGGACATGCCTTCTACCTTGCCGATCTTCTTGCTCGATGGGTATCCGGAAACAGCAACACAATGCCTTCTGATGCCATTCCACTATTCTCGGTCTCGACGTTCTCGCGAGCGGTTGCAGATGCTCTAGCTCAACAAAACTCTTTATGGACATGCAAAGCAGTCGATAGGTTCTCTCGCAGCGTCGAGCTAGCTGACATCGACTCTTTTGTCACCCTTCTGGATTCTCTAGTCGAAACCATACATGATCATTACCCGGTGCGGTCTGGCAAAGGGAAGGAAAAGGAAACCATCGATATTGGGGCTATTCGCTGCTGCTTGCATGGTTGGATAAACAGGCTGTTTGCAGTCACCGTTAGCAGCCCTGCAGAACCTGCAGATGAATCCCGCTGTCCCTATATTGACTCTGTCATTATATTACTCGACCGGTGTCGAAGTTATGGAATGCATACCCTGCGATTGGGTGATTCAGCTCAACCTTCTGAAGATGAACTTCCTGACGCAATCACGATACTCGCCACGCACCTTCATCTTACATATTCACCGGCGGATTATGATTCACGTCTCTTGGATCTACTCCGTGAAGCTTCACCTATTCCCACAACGTTCACTGGCCTCGTTAAGCACATGCATCGAGGTTCCGCGCAAGATTTTATGACATCGCTCCAGCAGTTCTCGTCGGCTCTACAAACACACAAGCTACTACAGCTGGACGCCTCGCTGTGGGCCTGTGCTCTTCATGTCTTCGAGAGCACCCCGAAAGGCACCTCAAAAGAGATTCAGAGATTCAAGCTTCTCTTAATCGACGGTGTGGACGAGGCCGAGCGCCGGTTATTTGGAGCTGGTCCACCCGATAGCAGCCCGGCTGTTCGGATACCAGGCCAAAGTAAGAGATCCCGTGGCGCGCACCATCGTCGACCGAGTGGAGAATGGGAGTGGGAGGAAATGGTTGGCTGCTGGATCCGCAAGACGCCTGCTCATGTGAAGAAAAAGAAGAAGATTGCACAGGTTACTTTGCACGAGAGCCCGGTTTTCATTAAACGTTTGTTGCGCAGAGGCACTCGTCGATATGTGACCCAGGGCTCCTCTCGTGCCACAGTTCCGCACAAATCGGCAAGATTTGCGATGGGGTCTACCGCATTTATGGCTTCCGATCGTCTTTCTTCGCCTTCCTCACGGGGAAGCGAAATCTTTGCGGAAGACGTAAATGAACATTCCTGGTGGAGTGGAGAACACGAGAAAGAGAATGTAATGCCAAGTTCGCCCTTGGCAGAACGTCGACCAGCACTCAAACCACGTCACTCCAACTTCTCTTCGATTCTGATGGACGCCCAGAAGAACAGAGTCAATCTACATGATCAGAAATCTCCTACACTCAGCATCTCGTCCAGTTCCAAACGATCGCAGCCTTCGTTATCTCGGAAAGTATCTGTCTACTCACCTGCGGCCATGTTACCTTCTGATGACTCTATGGACTTGTTCGCATACGCAACTTCTCCGCTCAGAACATAGCTTTGATTGGTTTGTCACGCTCGTTCTATATTACATTTTATTTACATATTATAACGTTGAATATTCAGACATTGCGAGGCTTATAAGCGTGCTGGCATTTGCTCAGGTGCTCAGAACGAGGCTCGTTATCACAAGTGGTACGAATTACCAAGGATTCTAATCGCGTCACTGAATTGATGCCAAGGGTAGAACCTCCTTGGTTGACGCCAGCACGGGTACAGCATTAGGATGAGCTGCTTCCCATGAGGTTTTCTTTCAAAAATAACATGTCAAAGGATATAGTTCTAACCACCTGTACATCTTTCAGTACAACCTGATAATTTGAAAGGTCACTGTGATGCAATCAGCAACACGATCCACGATGTGATGGGACTTGTTCTTGGTTTTCGTAGATTTGGTTGGGACGACGTACTAGGGCATGGTTCTCGTTGTATCCACCGGGCAGTCCTCGGATGATACGACAGAATGTGCCTGAGCTGTTGCCATGTATTGACTGCGCGCGCTGAACAGGTCATCATTGATTTGTACCTTGTTTTGACCCTGATCCGTTGGCAAGCTTGCACGACACAGGATGTCCCCATGAGCTTGAAGTTATCAAAATACCAGGAATAAGATTAGGTAGTTGGCGGTGTTCTAGAGGGCGGGGTTGATGATGATGAGAGCCTCCACCCACCATATGCTTGGTGACTCGGGCTCAGGCTATTAGCCGTACGGCACACGAATAAACGGAGTTGGGCCGGTAAGAAGCATGGCCCGCTGTGCTTCGCTGGATCTAGAAGATCAGGAAGACGCTCGTCCGAGTTGCTTAGTAAGTATTTTTTTGAACATATGACGAGTTATGAGCGTCAATGATCCATGTTTCTTTCGTGTTTTTCTATAGCCGGATCATATGAAAACGTTTATATAGATGACTCAAGATCAAAGGAACCAAAAATTGTCATACAGGATCGATTTGATCTCGTCTCCATTACGATTGTAGCGAATAGTGCCGCCGCGCGCCTTCATCAAGGTTCAATACACAACCATACCTTCTCTACCCCGCTATAGTCCCCAGTCATGACGCCCACCCTCGTGGAACCTATTCCTACCCCGCCTCCTGCCCAGTTTCATCCCAACGTCATTCTGAAGCAGCCGAAATCGCTTATTCACTCTAAAGTGGCCATACAACCGTGGGTCACACAAGTCAGTCATGTGTACTATTCAACCACTACGTAGCTCACTCTCGCACACACCAGCTTACGCACCTTGCCTCGCAGTACCACCTGAGCGAGTACAACCGTATAAAGCATGGCCACCGAGGTGCGTCATTTGTTGCCATCATTCAAACCGTTTTCACTAACCGCCGGCCGGTGCAGGCTGTCCCATACCATATGTGCCACTATTACTGCACGCACCAGACACCTTTCGCGACCTTCGCGCACGGCAGGCAACAAATATGAATGATGTACTGTGGTGGCCATGTCCAGAGGCGTCCTGTCCCACTGCGCAAGTCATACCCGCTTCCGAACAACGCAACGCACTCCTTAGCGGAAGCGCTTGTCCTTGTCTCTACCCGCTTCTCCAGAAAGAGTTGAACGCAGCCCTCGAGGATACTCTTTCCTCACAAATGCCACCCCCACCCATTCCCGAAGGCATATCACATCCTAGCATCCCCGTCAAGACGTCTACAACACATCCATTAAAGTTCGTTTTAATTCACTTTTGAAGAACTGTGGTTCATAATTTGTTCCAAACGCAGCATATCTACTATCGTTCCCCCGGAATTATTACCCGCAATGTCATCGCATCTTATAACCAACCCTGAGCCTTCACCTGTCATCTTTCATATACCCGACTTCTATACCCTGCATCGCATCACGGACTATGCCCAACACATCCCATCACCAACTAGCCCTACCTCTCTAGCTGTCTCACGCAAGGCTCACTCGCGTCGGTCAAGTCGAATTCCATTACTACCCTCAATACCCGCACATTCTTCCTCGCCAGAACCTATCCTTCATCCTCCTCCCCTTCCGATACCTCCGGCATTTATGAACCAGCCACCACAGTCCATAATGGAGGCTCTTCAGGCTGCCATCGACACGCGCTTAACGACGCTTGCCACCAAAACTCGCCCTTCGCTTCCATTCATAGGAAAGCTTTCTCCTACTCTCAAACATACTACCAAAGTTCGCGTGGTGTCCGATGATTTGGCGAGCAACCGGTCTTCATCTACACAAAGAGGGACTTCTGCTCTACCGAAGGTTGTCTTTCCTTCTATGCTCGATTTTCTCAATTCCAGCGAACGTGAACAGTGAGTTCATGTTGCCATTGTTCTTTGTGTGTAAGGCTGATGATGTAGACTAGCATTTTCGACTGCATCCCAGAATGCCACCAAGACGAGAGCGTCCAGCACGTTGCTCCGTCCCACATCAAATATTCATGGCACCAAGCGCTGTTTCAAGCTGGGTAACTTGATGCTGTCCTCGTGTCCAGGAAAGAAGGGTACGTTTGACTCATGACACGAGTGTATTCGCTGACTAGCATCACAACGGTATTAGTGCGCCTCGCAGGTCCGGTCAGAGGGCGCAGCGCCGTTTGTCGAGATCTCGACACTGATTTACGACGTATAAGTCAAGTCGGAGCACGTTGTATTGTTTGGTTAGTTGATGTACTGGCGTGTCCTGTGCTTTGTTGACTGTTTTGTAGTTGCCTGGATGACGAAGAGCTCGATTTTCTCGGGATATGCTGGTCAGACTACGTGAGCTCTGCGCACCGGGCAGGAATGGACATCCTTCGGTAAGTATTCCATCTGTTGGGTCGTTCGTATACTTACTTTCATTATGCTTGCAGAATACCACTGCCTGAAGGCCTTGCTCCGCTATCGCCCCAGTCATTAGATGAGTCCCTGACAAAACTCATCGACAATTACACCATGCGTGGTGCAAGTATACTTGTGCACTGTCGTGGGGGCTTGGGCAGGGCAGGCCTCGTAGCCTGCTGCTGGGTACTAAAAATCGGCCTGTGCGGGTGGATCAATGTGGACCTATCACCGAACCCAGCAGAGAGCGCCGATGGCCTGGAAAATTATGTGAGGAGGGATACCTTACAACTCGTCGAGCGCGCGATCACTGTTGTGCGGAGACGGCGAAGCGTCAAGGCCATCGAGACGTTGGAACAGGTGCGGTTTCTGACCGAGTATGTTGACTTTTTGCGAGAAGAGGTGGGGCGGCACGGACGGACGTGAGCATTTATGGTTGGTGTATTCATTATCTTTGGGGTGCAATTTCGATTTGTGGCTATAACTATTACTACTGTAGTCATTTTCATGCATAGGTTTAATAGCAGCTTGTGTTTGGAGGCTTCCCGCACATTGTAATACACAGTTGCAATTAATGGGGACACCCTGCATATTCTTATTCCTACAAGTCGATCTTTCCGTCTACACGCACGCGACACTAAATTTGAATTCCCCTCACAGCCATCGGATGCAAAACCGATCAAGATAAAACGCGGTAAAACCTACACGAATTGCGTAGTGTTCCGATAGAATATCAAATGAGAACTTCCACCCCGCCCCATTCAACACCCTGAACAAAGTTACATATCCAGCTCTTGTAGGATCAATTCCAACTACGTCCACCCACCAAGCAACGTCGTTCTCTGCTTGCATTTGTGCCAATTTGCGAGGTGCTCCTTACATATACCTTTGAACGGCATGCGTACTCGAGTCACGACGTCAGGTTGTTTAAAGAAACGGCGCGTTCGTATGCCGCTTGAGGGATAAATCGGATGGTGATGGATATCATGACAAGATGAACGATAAAACTGAAATACCCATGGACGTTCGCCAATGCTTCTAGCAGCAGCAACAGGACAGGCCGCCTCCATGTTGGCCGGTGTCTACCTGACCTGCTACTGGTTGATGTGGTTGCGTATTGGGATCCTGTGGAAGAGGGTCTTCATCACGTATCAAGGAGTGTTCACTCCCAGGAGCACCCGCTGCGGCATTACGCTTTAGATTTGAGCGTGAGACACCCGAGAAATAGTCATGACAAAATAACTCGCACCTGTCGACCTTGGGCATAAGGAACGTCGACAACAGGTGGGGTTGCATGATGGAGTGGTAGGGTAAATAGGCGTCGTATGTGAGTTTTGAAGGTGGTGGTAGCGACTGGTGGTGAGGTGGCGGGTGGTGCAGGAGCAGGCGCAGGAACTGACTGAAGCCTCTTCGTCATAGCGAACTTCAGTCTTTTGAGGCGCCCAGCTCGCTGTTGAAGTCTTGGCCGGGAGATCTGAGAATACTGCAATAAACTATGTGAGAGAGAACAGAACGATACGCTCTTGCACACACTTGATGCATTTCATAGAAGAAATTGGGTTCTGCATCATAGCCATCGTGATCTTGGCCGGGGATCTCTACCTGCATAATAGTCAGTATCGAAAGAGGTAAGGAAAGAGGTACATACAACAAGAATACGGTCGTTGTGCGTAGCGAGCGGGCTGCATTTCTCCTTGAACTCTGAGTGATATGCAGGTGAGTATGATGGCCTCGGGTAACATCACTAAAACTCGCCATTGGACCAATCGAGACAGCTGGCCTTCGCGATGTCGTCGATGGCGTCCATCATGTATTTGTGTGCTTCGAGGGCTTCGTCGAGTTTACCTGCCGAAAAGAAAGCCTGGCACCGCTTCTGGTGTGTCGTAAGCAATAAGGACTCGAGATCCCAGCCGAAGAGCTGCAAAAAGGACTAGGTTATGAAAAGTGCTGGGTGTGCATCATCTTGACGAACCATGATCAAGTCCTCGTATATCAAATGAATGTATTTTGATGAGACAGCAGTGGAGTTGACAGCGGCAGTAAAGTGATCAATAGCTTCGTCGTGACGCGCATCATCCAAGGCTTTGGTCCCGAGCTGAATACGTAGATATGTCTATTGTGCGAGTTGCAAAGATCAGGGTTGATGACCGAGAGTGGCCCCATGATACTTACTTCCACAACACGACACGCGAGAGGATCGACATCCGGACAAGCGGCAGCCAGGTTTTTGATGAGCAGCATTGCTTCCTCATGTTCATCTGCGTTGAAGAGTGCGATGGCCTGGAATAGATGAAGCGGATAGCATGGGAGACGGATTAAATGTACCTTGATCAAGAGAAGAAATTGGTTGGTTTCTGAATCTTGGTTCGTGAACATGGATGCGACGTCGAATGCTACCCTTGCTTCTCGGACGTGACCTTTTCCGCAGAGGGCGATGCCTTTCGATATAAAGCCAATTAATGATGGCTTAATGTTGATTGACTATGTCACGGATGAAAGTTAGCCTTTTGTAAGAAGACAATGATGGGCGGGTCCATCGCACCTTGATTGCATCCCCAAGGGCGTTGTCCAAGTCGTGCATCCGGGCCATAACGAAGGAACGATAGGCATATGAAGTAAAGTCGTCGGCGTTGGCGTGGATCTCCTGGGTGAGGAGCTCTTCAGCGATAGACAAGTCCCCAGTCAAACAAGCATCGCGGGCTGTTGGAATGTCAAGGATCTGCACGAAGGATGCTCGAATTGGGTTATGAGAGTCAGAAATGGAAACTCGCCTTTGAATGAGCGACCTTTGGTACTGCCCACTCTGAGGTCTCATTGTCATCACCTCCGCTGAGGATGTGCCTGCCGTCCACAGAGAATGTGACATATTTCGTGGCAGACGAATGCTGGAAGATGGCGATGGTTCGTTGATCTAAGAGTCGCCAGAGACGGACATGCTTGTCTTTAGATGCAGAAGCGACGAGGGTGCCAGTGGGATCAATAGCAATGGCGTTGATATGATAAGTGTGGCCTTTCCATGGATGACCGACCTGCTGCCAGGTTGATGTGTCCCACTCCAATATGGAATTCCTATTTCCTACAAGAAGGCGTGTGCCATCGGGCGTCCATATGAGTGACATGTTCCATGATTCGGAACCTGTCAAAGATGCGACTTCTTCCCTTGTGCCTGGATTATAAATTTGGATATTTCCGTATGTTGCGATGGCAAGAAGTTCACCAGAAGGGGAATATCGAACGCAGTAGACACTATAACCACACTTGATTGGATTTCCTTGCATCTGCCACGTTTTGGTACACCAAAACTTCACCGTGTCGTCCCATGAAGCAGTGGCCAGCACCATTCCATCAGGAGAAAAATCCACCGAGTGCATCAGCAATATCTCCAAGTCACTTTTTGCACTTACATGACTGATTTGTATTACTGATCTCGCTGAGTAGAAAAAGGAAAGCTCTGATGTCACTTATTTTACTGGTACCCACTTTTTGCAGACGTGATTCAAACAAATGTTGCTAATAAGATGTAAAAGTAAATTAAGTGCGATAAGATATTTTGTAACCTAATTGACAACTATGAATACAGGACCTAGGTTAGAATAATAACTACCGGGGGAATGGCAGTGGGCATGGAGGACGGTCTCGTATCATTGGAGCCAAATGATGATTTTGCTATGGGTGCGCCTCCTGGTGCACCAGGGGCCATGGATGAGACGATCCCAGCACGAGGTCTCCATGGAGTTGATATCCTCGTATTCGTGAGGATGCAGAGATATGGGAGAGGGGAGCTGAGCGCCGGGACGAATGAAGGGAGTACGAATTCGGCGCCGGATGTGTCATTGGAGATATGGGAGAGGGGAGCTGAGTGCAGAGATATGGGAGAGGGGAGCTGAGCGCCGGGACGAATGAAGGGAGTACAAATTCGGTGCCGGATGTGTCGTTGGAGATATGGGAGAGGGGAGTTGAGCTGTACAAGATTAAAATGCGATTTCAAACGCATGATGGTCGGCGAATTTGTTGACATAGAAAGTGCGGAATTTATCTAAAGAGTTCGAAAAGTTGATAGCATGAGGTATGAAATCAACACTGTAAACGGGAAGGAGATGAGCTGCGCGATAGATTGCGTCAATGTGTATCACCGAAATATTCGGAGAGTGACCATCAAAGGATGGCTGAACTACCCACATGCCTGTGTCTTCATCAGGGGCATCACCTATGACATCAAACCAATGAACCATGGCACACTCGTACAAGACAAACTTGTATCTGAAGGAGAAGAAGCATAGCGCGCGTGCTATTTGAAGCCCTCGCATTCCTTCAAGGTCCGGTTGCGCATTTATAAACATGCAGTCATAGCGAGCGTGCGCATTCCTCCATTTAGGGCAGGATCAAATATGTTCCCTTCGCATCCCTCCAATCCCACTTAAGTCACTCGGCGCATAAAATCTTGATGATGCGGAATTGACTACAGAGATTTTCCTGTCATAGACAGGGAAACTGTCAAGTGGGATGGTGGCATGGTCACGAGGGTCATGAGGGTGAAGTTGTTTGAAGAGAAAGTGACCGATGAGATCTTGTAAGTTCGAAATAGAAAGCTCGATAGCGAGCGCTGCTACGGTTCGAGCACGCGTTACTTCTGATATCAATGTGAGTGAGTGATATAGTGAAAGGATCAAAATACGTACGGGTTGTTTGTGCAAGCTGCACATGGGCCTCGATTTCAGTCGGCCCATTATCAATTTCACCCTCGTCAACATTGTCGTCAATATCAGCATTGGGCTTGGCAGTATCAGGAATGATATCGGAAGGTTCGGCAGGAGGGTTATTGCATGAAGTATCGAGACAACCTAATTGAAATCAGCGAAGCATTATATCAGAGTCTTGATTTACTGACCTGAAGCATCGCTAAGACATGTACCATTGAGCATACCGCGTTTCATGAAGTCTACACGCAAAGCGGCAATTTTGTCGAGTCGCTGATTCGTCACAAGCATCTGTCCAAGCGCATTGTATCTGTTCGACCGACGCCACGGTTGCTTCACAGCTTTAATGTGCTTATTTTCCGTCATCGACGAACATAGACCATTTGGCGCTCCGAATAGACGGATAAGGTCGGGATAGTGCTTCATCGAGTGCTGACGTGGGAGCGAAAATGTAGGGACAACACCTAACCGAAGAAATATTGAGCGATAGTGGTGAAAGCGGCGTAGAGCATCTTCTATTTGTGAGATTGTGGCCTCCGTGATGACGTTCCTTCGGACGAGATAGCAGAACTCTAAAAATGCGCGAAACGTGCGGACAACGTCTGTCGGTACGTGACCCTCTATCGCAGGTAGATATATCTTGAACAGTACTGTATCAGTCAACAAATCTTATGTCAATCAGAAAACAAAACGTACCTTCATGAGTGCCTTAGAGTCATCCCCGGTCCATTGTTTGAATCCACGGCCCTGTGGAAAACGTTGCAAACCAGTGAAGGGAGTAGCGGCAGCGAGTCATTGGTCTATGTCATCCATTCGACGTTTGGCCTCCCTTTTGTCGTGAACATGATGGAGGTACTTCTCCACCCATGTCACAAGATGGTCCTTGAAGCAGCCTTTGATGATTTGGTGAAGGATATCCGGGGCAATCAGTTGATGAATGTTGGCTCGAGGAAAGTCGTTAGTAAAAGGCTAAATGTTTATACTAAGTCAGGTGAACACTGCAGCAAGTGAACAAATCATACCACAATAGACCCCACAATACCAAAGTCACGCCGCAGGACATCAGACATGTCTTCCTCGAAAAGGGCCTCTCTGTGTGCCTCGCATCGGCATAGCGCATCCTCGTCGTCCAGTTTTCCATGGGGAGCGAGACATCTTTGAGAGTATTCAACATTAAGAGAACAGCAAAGAGCTAGCGAGACGAACCTTGGACACCAATTCCTCACAATGGATGTGAGTAGAACTTGCTCTTCATAGTTGGCAATATATGGTCCTAGCCCATAAATGACGCGTCGATAATGGCCATCACCAAAACGCGCGATCTCGGGCTTTAACATAAGGTTCTTGAACGTTTCGAGTATCTTCGCAATTGAAGAATGGAAGATTTGGCGTTGGAAGTCACGGAATTCTTCGGTTTCCTTATGCTCGTTGGTAGCTGCAAGACTGAGTTTAGTTACAGTATGAAAAGGTTCCAAAGACTTACTCTTTGGAATGGCAAGAAAGCCAACAAGACAGAGCGCATCTCGATGCGCTCGACGGACATTGTTGCGTACATTGCCAATAGACAGGTACAATGGATAATATTCGTTGTTTCCAGTGCCAACAGATACAGTTGTTTTGTCGCTTCCAAGTATTATGGGTACAAATGTTGCACCGAGCGCGTCAGGGTCAGTAGCGATGATATCCTGGAAAGAATGTTCAATACAAGGAAGTAACATCCAATATAAAGACACATACCGCTTGCTGCCAGGCCCAGTCACCTGACATGAAGTCTTGGTAACGGTGTTCGTCTTTACTGACCAAATATTCACGGAAAGGGCGATAATCAAAATCATTTACATAGTCGGGGTTAGTGAGGATGTTGCGTGCAACTTCACGAGGGTCGCGATACCAAACATCGAATTGTTGATTCATCCACGAAGGCACATCCGGTATATCAGGTTTCTCTCCAGAATACTGAATTTTGAAGGACTGCCAGTTGACGCCACCAATCGGAATATTGTCGATGGTCTTGTAGAGGTCCTTATGATCCGCAAAAGGCGGCATATCGCCATGTTTGAGGAGTGACGCAGCCCAGAGATCAAGGAGAGTGTTTATATTGGGCGCGGACATTTGTGCGCGGCTGTACAAGAATTTGGCCGTCTCAAATTCAGTACGGTTGCGGAATGGTGACCAGTCATCAGGTAACTGTTCTGTGAGAGGCTGTGGTGGAGTACCAGGCGGTAAAAAAAGGCCATTTGCATCACATGGTTGAGCTGGGGCTTCATTAGCATTAGATGAGCTATAAGAATAAAGCGTGCTCACCGTTCAAACCAGCGTGATAGTTGCGGTACAAGTTCTTGCCCGTGCCATAGAATTCGGCGTCTATGTCAGGAGCTGGTGGTACAGATGAATGGCAGGCGTCTTCAGAAGGTGCTGTCAGATAAAACACGCTGACATATCAAGACTGAGACTCACCACCAATATCACCGTCAACTTGCCCTGGTAGTGGTGGAGATGAAAGGCGCGGTGCATCTTTAATAAGTAGCATTAGAACTGTTGTGGGTTGGGTATCACTGATGGGACTCACCAGCATTCATGTCATAATCTTCTTCTTGTGCTGGCGGCACCAGAGATGAGTGATTTGAACCTAATTACTGAGTGAAATGGATGCCAGACTAGGGAACTGCATGGGTACGGGTAACCCGCGGTGGGTCGCGGGTACGGGTACTGCCGGGTACGGGTACGGGTCAGGATTTTGTGACCCGCGCAAATACCCGTACCCGTGATGTACCCGTCACAGTCGCAGTGTAGCCATTCTACGCTTGGGTGCATTCACAGCGCGCGCACGTGGCGCATGTAGAGTCGACTCTAGATGGGGAGTTGGTGGTATTAGGGCTGCAAAGGTGCGTGTTTTCATCACACTAACTGATAATTTTTAGTAACTTTATTGTCAAGTCCCACAGCTGAATTCTATTGTCATGTGAGTTGTCCTTTATCATTCTTTCTTATCTTTACTCCTTGCTCGTTTTCTCAGACCTCCGCTGCACCCTCTCATACATTGCGCACACCCTCTCATATCCCGCGCACCCTCTTGTACATCTGGCACACCCTCTCGCACCTCTCAGACCTCCACCCTCTCATACATCGCGCGCACCCTCTTGTACATCCTGCGCACCTCTCTCATGGCTCCAATCCACCCTCTCGTGCATCCAGTGCACGCTCTCATGAGTCCGAGTCCGTCGATCCTCGTTCGAGCAAAAGCCATGCTGATCCGAGTCGTTGCCCACCGTTCGCAGTTGGTCAGTCCGTTGATCCTCATTCGGGAAAGAGCCATGCTGATCCGAGTCATTGCCCACCGTTCGCAGACTGTGAGTCCGTTGATCCTCGTTCGAGCAAGAGCCATGTTGATCCATGTCGTCGCCCACCGTTCGCAGTTCGCCACGTTCCCAACGCGATGGATGCCATGCGCGAACGCCCAGCGTGCGCCAGCAAATTTGCCCGTGCCTCCACTCCTTGTGCCATCCACATATGTTCGAGTCACGTCAGCATTCGCTGACGTGTGCTGGACATATGTGCTAAGCACTGGTGGTGATACCTATGGTACCCGCGGGTAAACCCTGCACGGGTGCGGGTACGGGTCTGAGCTTGTTGTACCCGCCGAAAACCCGTACCCGTCAGAGCGGGTACGGGTTTTTGCCGGGTGCGGGTGCGGGTCAGGTCCCCGACACCCCAGGGTATACCCGTGCGGATCCCTATGCCAGACTCACCATCAATGTCCATGTCCTGCGACCCCGCTCCCTTTGTATTTGCACTGCTCAGAATTGGGTGCATTGCAGTGCGGTGCCTTGTGCGTCCGCTGAGAAATTTGAAGTACTTATTACATCCAGGACGGCCACAAGGAATTTGATATGAAATATGTTTCCTTCGAGTGTACTGAGTAGAGCAGGGCGGCATGCTAGAGTACAGAATGAAGAAAGAAAGCTAGTGGAGGACTGAATGCGAACCTTTCTCTTACAGTAACTTAATTAGGACTAGAGGCAGGGTAGTACCATCGAAAATTGAGCCGATGCCTGTGGAAGTTCAAGAACGTAAGAGGGACCAGTACCTTGTAAATTTTCGCGCCCCAGTTATTTGCTCTACCTTGTCTACTCCTCTCATCAACTCCAATAGTCAACCATGGCACCCAAAGCCCCGCAAGAAGCAGACCCTTCAGTCACTTTCCATGTAGAACCCTGGCTCCGGATGTGCCAAAAGTCTGTAGAATCATGGCCAGCCAGTCACTGGCCGGAGTATGCAAACTCCAGCTGGCCGGAGTATGTGGAATCAGTGTTGACTGGTGTAGATATATACATATTAGAATTACTGTAAACACAATAACTAGCCTTATGCCTACAAAATGTATAATACAGCTGGCCGGAGTATGTAGAATTAGTGTTTAGTGTTAATATATATATAAATGATTACCATCAGTGGTAGTGGCTAGCTTTATGCCTGCAAGATATAGAATTCAGCTAGCTAGTTGGCTGGCCTGATTTCACTGCAGGTAGAATCAAGCTTGCCAGTATGCAATTCTGTAACCAATGACTGACCAGCCTTGACTCCACTGTTGTAGAATCAAGAATCAAACTGGCCAGGACACAATGTTGAAACTGATAACTGGCCAGTCTTGGTTCTACATGTTGTAAAATCAAGTCAGCCAGTCACTTGTTATTAAGTTGCATACTGGCCAGATAGCCTGTACAACATGTAGAATCAAGACTGGCCAGTTATCAGTTCCAACATTGCATCCTGGCCAGTTTAATTCTACAACCGTAGAATTAAAGCTGGCCGGTTTAATCCTATAGAAGAATCAAGCCTGGCTAATTATTGGTTTGGGATTTCTATACGAGTACTAGTCATTAGTTACAGAATGTCATACTGGCCAGTTATCAGTTTTAATATTGCATCCTGGCCAGTTTGATTTTACACCAGTAGAAACAAGGCTGGCCAGTTATCAGTTCCAACATTGCATCCTGGCCGGTTTAATTCTACAACATGTAGAATCAAGACTGGCCAGTTATTAGTTTTAATATTGCTCGGTTTAATTGTACAATAGTAGAATCAAGACTAGCTAATTATTGTTTTGTAATTTCTATACTAGTCATTAGTTACAGAATTTCATACTGGCCAGATAGCTTGTACAACATGTAGAATCAAGACTGGCCAGTCATCAGTTTTAATATTGCATCCTGGCCGGTTTAATTGTACAATAGTAGAATCAAGACTGGCCGGTTTTCAATCACAACATTGCATCCCGGCCGGTTTAATTCTACAACATGTAGAATCAAGACTGGCCGGTTTTCAATCACAACATTGCATCCCGGCCGGTTTAATTCTACAATAGTAGAATCAAGACTGGCTGGTTTTCAATCACAACATTGCATTCCGGCCGGTTTGATTTTACAACAGTAGAATCAAGACTGGCTGGTTTTCAATTCCAACATTGCATCCCGGCCGGTTTAATTCTACAACATGTAGAATCAAGACTGGCCAGTTATTAGTTTTAATATTGCTCGGTTTAATTGTACAATAGTAGAATCAAGGCTGATCAGTCATTGGTTTCAGATTTGTATACTGGTCAGATAGTTCCTACGACATGTATGATCAAGACTGGCTGGTTATTGGTTTCAACATTTCATACCGGCCGACTTGATTCTGTCTATTGTAGAATCAAGGCTAACCAGTTATTGGTATCAGAATTACATGGACTGCATAGGGTAGATATAAGCTAGTTATATACTCTTATAAGGGCCAGCCATGTACATACATGCTGTAGGAACCATCTGGCCAGTCCATATCTTAAATACAATTATCTCGGCCAGCTGTGGACTACATAGAGTGGAGCTAGTGCTAGCTAAGCTACCTTGTCATTCATTAGCATTGAGAATTATCCTGTCATATTTTTCCTAGCAAAGACAGTATACCAGATCAAAGTATAAATTGACATCCATTGAAATTTTTCTCTGCCTCCTCAACAAATCTTCCCCACATCAAGACCTGCTGATAAGCATAGGCTTGATGACCAGGTCTGGTGGCTTGGCCACCCCTTCTCTCCCATTCATTCTGGTGGTACTTGAACCAGTTTATGGTCCAACCCATTTCATGTCTTACCAGCCTTAATTCCTCTTGCCATCTATTCCATCTAGCCTTAGCCTTCAACCAGTTCACCCTGTAGACTAGATCGGTTGGAGCTTTAGTGACATATCATAGAGATAAAGATTTTTTCTTACATTCATCTATCCAGGCATCGTCTTGACCTTGGCTTGCATTATTTCCCCTCCAAAACCAAGCCAGCCTGTCTGACCCTTGTCCAAATCTATTTTCTTCTGTCACCTCTTTGTCTATACTGAGCTCTGTAGGCGATATTGGCTGATAAAGACTCCCCAAGGTGGCTTTGTCCATGCCTAGACCTTCCATTGCTGACCTTGCCCTCTGATAGCTTCTTACACACTTGTCAATTTTGAGCTGACAGCGTTGAGCTTCTTGCTTTGACCTAGTCCCAGCCCATGTAGAATTAGCACTTCGAAAATACTGACGATAGATGATGGCCTTATGACCAAGGGCCATTCGAAGCTTTTCGAGGCAGTCATTGGCTTGGCCCTTTCGAAGTTCTAATTCTTCAGCTTGGAGGGGACCCAGTCCGAGAGCCAATGCATCCTGGTAGGGCACTGATGATGGCATCCAGATACCCATCTCTTCAGCCAAGATTTCTTCGTCAATATACTCTGAGATCTCTTCATCTGAGACCTCTCCCCAACCATTTTCATCATGACCTGCATAGCAGAATCTAGGATCGTCGGAATGCACTGTTGCAGTTCCAAGATCCATACCAGCAGTCATGGCATCAGCTGTTTCATGAAATTTAGCTATCCTAGCTGTCAATCTCTGTCGCTTCTCTTCTATAGAAACTTTCTGTCCTGGGGTTGCATCAGTAGGAAGTTGTCGAATATCTGCCCTTAGTCCATCCCTAAAATAGTACTATGTCAAACGGTTTCTCTATTTTTATTGGTTACATACTGTAAATCCTCCAGATTGATGCCAGTAATGAGCCAAGAGACTGTCCCAGGTTTGCTAGTGTCGGTATTCTCAGACTCAGTTAATTTGAGTCTAATCTCTGCCATAGTTGGAGCTAGATACAAATACTGATCAGATGTCTGTACAAGAATAGCAGCCTCACAACTAGACAGAGTTCACTTACCTTTGTTCATCTGCAACTGATAGATGTCAAGATACTCTCCACGTTGTTCCATGGCCTTTTTCTCATTGATCTTCCATATCGAAATCTTCTCAGGGTCCAGAGACAGAGTGAGCTCGTCAAAGGGAGACTTTGTGTCATCAACACCTTTGAGAGCCCGTTTGTACTTTTTCAAGAGAGTCTTCACTGGAAGCTCAATTGTCAAGCTTGTTCAAATGCAAAATTTGGAGGGCTTACTTATTCCCACTATTTTTTTCCAGTTTGAGTCTCGCATATGATCATCAAGAACTTCTTGACGGTGAGCCTGACTCATTGACCGAGCAGTTGGGGAGATCTTATTGAATGGTGCCCACAGAGTCTCCAAAATCTCCCATCAACATGTCCAGCCCCTTGAATAAAGTTGAGGCTGTACCTTGCAAAGCAAGCTAATTTGTGAGCGCTAAGATGGAATTTTCCAACTGCTGGAACGATGTGCATATTTTCAGGTACAGACAAGCCCTTGCTCTGGGCTACTCTCTGTAGAAAATTAATGCTCCACTGACACCCCACATCATAAATGATGAGGGAAGAGTCTATACCAGCTGAATGATAATTCAATGCATTGCATATTGAGTAGTCGATATTCATGTGTCTAAAAATTACCTGAGCTTGCATAACATGTTGATTTGGAGGACATACACAGACATTTCGCCCTTCTGAAAATCAACTATACTATGAGGAACAAAGCATCCATGTCGAGCACAAGCAGTTGCTCCTACACCTGTAGCTCGAAGATTGCTCCTGCTGATATTGGCTGCATTTACTGCACGATGATTGCTGCAAGAAGACCACTACAAAGATAGTGAAGCATGAACGAAAAGTGGTTGTCATGAGCCAACTCACCTCTTTACTTTCTACAGCCGATGACAGATGAGTCTGGTATTCTTGATCTTTCACCATATACCCAAGCCCGTCTGACAAACTAATGTCCAACTGTGGTTTTCTCATTACCATATGTTGAGCAGTGAAGTTCCCGTCTACCACATATCTTTGTGAAACAAGCCAACTGTACAAACAGGTAAGCATAAGGTTAAAAATGTGCAAAAAAGAAAAGTAGAAGTCTCTCTCCGGACCAACTCTCTGGCTGGCATGTCTTTGAGTGACATCTATGCACCTCAGTTTAACCGGCCAGCATGGTTATGCATGCTATCTGTGTCAAGCTAGCAAGCCAATTTAATGTGCCGGCCGGCCTGGTTTTACATCCAGTCTATGCCATGCTGGCCAGCTTGATTAGAACATAAGTCAGTCCGGCCGGAGCTCTCGTACACTATGCAGTGTAGGGCTAGCCAGTGAGTATGATATTCTCAAGTGTGGTAGAGAAATTGAGTCGCCTCTCCTTAGAATGAGATGGATAAATGACTTGCCTTTCATATCTGGCTTGCCAGTCAGGAGGTAGGTTAATCCCAGGCTGTGGACAAGCAGGGCAAAACCAAGCCAGATCACCCTTGTCCGGTTTCTGCTCATCATTATGGGCAAAGCCAAACCATTTTCGACTCATCAAGTCTCTCCACAGTCGAGACACTCTCATAAGTTCTCGATATCGATTCTAGAAAAACAAATTGGTACTGTTAGTTTAACTTTCACCAAGAAGACTTATAAGACTTACAGGAACAGTATCTGGGAAACAGTTATTGGTCATTCGACGGATTTTTTCAAAGAAGCTGGATGCTGAAGTCTTGCACTCCAGTGCATCAATTAGAAAATGATTGAGGACATCAAAAGTAAAGGCAGTCTGTGGTCGAGTGGTACTGGCTGGAAATAATTTAGCTTTCAGCAATTGCAAATGCTGCTGACAATCGACCCCAGGACAGCTGCACCAGACAACGTTGTGCAAAAACACTCCAGTGGAATGTACAATGGTCAACTTGGTTGGTATAGTTGAACCATGAACTGTCTCCATTGGTGAAAAATCGGCCTCTGCGTCCATCGGAATATTCTCCCATGCATGCATGTCGTCAGAAAATGGACATGGTTGTCCCCCATGGCCCATATACCAGATAAAACCCAATTCTTCAAGTGATGTGTCGTTGAAGCATTTCCCAGTCCACTCTTGAACCTTGTGGAAGGGCAAAAACTGGTGAGCATTGACAATGCAAGAACGACAGAATGTCTGATCTCCACTGCAAGTCAAACAGCGGAATTTCCCTTCACCAATCTGACAAGACTGGCACTGGGATACATCGGAGGGTTTCTCCAAGTCAAGGAGAATATCCAAGTACAAGTCTCGGAAAGGCAGATATTCTTGGATGAAGTCATTTTGTGTCTGGTCGTAATAATCTCTATTTAGTACATCATTAAAAGACACTGAATCACTATGCTTGCCTTGGTTTTTCTTTGTGAGTTCTCTACATAGGAAACAAAGTCACCAAGGGTTTGTCTATCAAAATCTTCATGACTGTTTTGCAACCCTTGAGTGTCTTCTCTAATACGTTTACGAGGGCTGGAGGATGGAGATGGTGTTGGGGCAGTGTCATAAAGGCTATCAGCGCATGATTCCACCCAGGTTGGCTTCCTTCTCTTTCCAATGACTTGTTTATGAGACACATAGGCAACATCAAGGTCCTTGCCTTTAGACAAACGACCTCTTCCTTGGAAGGAAAATGTAGCTGCCTTGAGTCGAGTTTTTTTCTTGGGAGACATAGGGTTACGTGTGGGGGGAAAAATTGATATTATCAACATTCTATTTTGATAGTTGAAACCATTCATAGGAATCACTAGATCACATCAACTAATCTAGTAGGTATACTGTCAAACACTTGATTTGTCCCATTCCACCCCTCCTCCTCCAAGAACCACTCCTTTCTTATCATCTACTTGTCACAACAAATAACTATCCTGCTGCCCCACCATCTGCAAAAAATAGGCCTGTGTTGGAAAGGGGGGTCTGGATACCCCGCATCTAGAGTGGATTTTATCCCTCATAAAATGGGCAATAACGAGCCTTTCTCCCGGACCCCATGGACCAATAGAATGTTGTAAAACCTTCCCGGAAATGAAGACCATTGTCCCAGGGTAATAATCCAGTTCGGCCCCAACATCTGCTAATGTCAACTTAGCCTCATGGCCACTGCCTAAACTAATCAGAAGATCAAAAAGAAATGGTGCGCCACCAGAATCTCTGTGTGATAAAGTTGTACGATTTGCAATTATTTCCAATCCTGAGAAGATCGAGGGCCAATCACAGATGGGTGGTGATGTTCTATCAGAACCTTGAAGTTCCTCAATAATACGAGTGATTGCCAAGGTGCCTGCTTCGAATAGATCTGGAGCCGATACAGCGGTAATGGCATTCCAGAAAGATTCAGTAGCTGATAAAGCAGCTAGCCACTCTTGGACTTCCACAGACTTATAGGAAGCCGAGGTAACCATTGGGTCTTCCAGTCTCTGCAAATGAAATCAAACAAAGTCAAAAGTAGCTAAACAGCCACTAAATTTGGCCTATACCTCGTGTCTTTGCATAAAATATGCTGGTGATACTGTGACTCTGCCTGCTCCAAATTCTCCACCCCCCTCTGGGACAACAAAGCCTTGAGATCGCCAAGACTGTTGGGTGGAGGACGTAATTGTTTCAAGAAGTAAAGTCCGTAACCCTTAGTGGCTGAGTTCACATATTCCTAATTTAATTTATCAATTGATGAGGGGAATTCCCAAGGAAGAATGAACATACAACCCGAGAAGAAGACAAAATATTTGGCAAGTAAATTGTTAAAATTTTACCTTGCCTGTCCACAATAGTAGCTGGTGCTGAAATTTTACCGATCATAGCTGCAGAAAAGTACTTTGGTAGCTGATTGGTATTAGCGAGGGGACCATCAGATTTAGGTGTAGAGACTTTGGCCATTTCGGCAAATCTGTCAACATCCCAATCCACATAATCTGCAAATGATGTGAATTTAAAACCAGGTGATATCTTGCAGAGTGGAAACAACTCACAAGGATTTACCATGGCATGGGCAACTGTCAGTGCAGCTCGATTGATCTCATATTCTGAGATTGACGCAGAAGCATGGAAGTTGACATCACGTGTTGCTAAGCAACTGTCTAGCTCATGTCCAATTCTTAATCTTAAGTGAGACCATTTAATAGAGCGGATCAAATAAGGCCCTAAATATAACCTCTCACCTTGCTTTGTGTAGAAGGTGAGTTTGCAATATCCCCCTCTGAAAATCCTGTTGCTGATGATTTTCCCATAATTTCCTTGATCCTTGTGGTCAGAGCTGCTCTCAGCTTGATTGATTGACTCATTTGTTGGTCCATGGTGAGCAAGGAAAATTTTCAACCAGCTCGTTCGGATCAAGACTCAATTTAACTTATATGAAATGATTCCGAAAAAATTGTCCCGCGATCAAATTTGGATATATGAATGGAATCTACTGATGGAAGACTGATTAAATGAAGTTTCCGAAAAAATTGTCCCGCGATCAAATTTGGATATATGAATGGAATCTACTGATGGAAGACTGATTAAATGAAGTCTTGCCCAGATTGTGACATAATTAGTACTGTAATAACTCGCTCAGATGCTGGAAGAGTGAAGACTAATATTGGCAGACTACCACAGAAGAATGAATGATATTCTGAATCTGGGACTACACTGTGGGATCCCTGTCTCAAATAACAGGAGACACTTCCAGCTGGAGTTCAACGCCTTGAGAGACAGCAAGGACTCACTTATTAAGAATGCAATCACAAAAACAGTAGTGTATAATAGTAAATTGGCATCCGGAGGATACCAGGACAAGTAGCAATGACGCCATATGATACAAACTGCCCTGCACCATCAGAAGGCTGACTCTTCCCTTCTGACCATGGAGGGGAGATACCTCTGAGGTTACCTCTGAGGCATATACTGGCTAGCCCGCCCTCAAACTGTTCGTGTTAAGAGTTCTGCCTCAGAGGTAATACTTCGTTAGCTACACCTATACTGTAGGGTATTGAAAATGTTTTCTTTGTTAACCGAAGAAAACATTCTCAATACCCTGCAGTATAGGTGTAGCCAACTTACCTCTGAGGCAGAACTCTTAACACGAACAGTTTTGAGGGCGGGCTAGCCTCTAAGTGGCCTGTAGGGTATTGAGAATGTTTTCTTCGGTTAACAAAGAAAACATCTTCAATACCCTACAGTATATGCCTCAGAGGTAAGTTAGCTACACCTATACTGCAGGGTATTGAGAAACCCTGCAGGCCACTTAGAGGCTAGCCCGCCCTCAAACTGTTCGTGTTAAGAGTTCTGCCTCAGAGGTAAGTTGGCTACACCTATACTGCAGGGTATTGAGAATGTTTTCTTCGGTTAACAAAGAAAACATTTTCAATACCCTACAGTATAGGTGTAGCTAACGAAGTATTACCTCTGAGGCAGAACTCTTAACACGAACAGTTTGGAGATACCTCTGAGGTTACCTCTGAGGCATATACTGGCTAGCCCGCCCTCAAAACTGTTCGTGTTAAGAGTTTTGCCTCAGAGGTAATACTTAGTTAGCTACACCTATACTGTAGGGTATTGAAAATGTTTTCTTTGTTAACCGAAGAAAACATTCTCAATACCCTACAGTATAGGTGTAGCTAACTAAGTATTACCTCTGAGGCAGAACTCTTAACACGAACAGTTTTGAGGGCGGGCTAGCCTCTAAGCGGCCTGTAGGGTATTGAGAATGTCCGTCAGTCCAAAATATGCTAGCAGCCCAGGCAGATGGTGACAATGACGCCATATGATGACTCCCCTCTGTGGTCAGAAGGCAATTTCAAAGAAGAATCAACCTTCTGACCGGGAAGGGAAGTTTGTATCATATGGCGTCATGGCTACTTGTCCTAGTGTTCTGCCACCATCTGCCTATGCCAATAGTATATTTTGACTGGCAGACAATAATCAATGATAGCGTCCTTCAGCATGTCAATGGTGAGCCGCATCAAGGCAGAATTGAGATCTACATAACACATTATCTATCTAAGACATGTAGTAGATAATAGTTGCTTTGGTCTGTGCAGCGTTTGATTATTATACACTACTGTGCTTTTGCGCTTGCTTTCTTAATAAGGCTCTTTGCTAATATACACACGGTCACGTGACCTTTTCAGCCGGCAGCAAATAAAGTGCATCCATCAACATACATTTTCAAATACAAAGTACGAGTGACAATAAATTTACTACAAGTAAGCAAACAAATAAAGTAACAAATACAAAAGGGGAGGCGAGACTTCAATGAGGGGGCCCTCCTCACCAAAGCCTCAACACTCCAGGTGAAAATGTATGTAGCAATATATATATAATACAATACAAATTTGTCCTGTAGAAACGTTAGACTGAAATTTAAGACAAGATTAACACTTAACTAGAGAGCACTTGCCACACAAAAGTACCGGCAGGTTCAGCAGTCTAGAGAACAAAACAGATCAGTTAAGGTCATCAGGAATTGAGCGCTTACCACCATTAAAAAGTTGGAGCAGGCTATTAAAAAGTCGGAGCAGGAGCCACTGACAAGTGGCATGCACTGCGATACCGCCAATTCCAAGAAGCAGGAGCCACTTGACAAGTGGCATGCACTGCGCTGAGCCCCAGTCCCAATAAGCAGGAGCCACTAACAAGTGGCATGCACTGCGATACCGCCAATTCCAAGAAGCAGGAGCCACTGACAAGTGGCATGCACTGCGCTGAGCCCAGTCCCAATAAGCAGGAGCCACTAACAAGTGGCATGCACT